GAAGAGGAGGAAAACAACCGGTTCCTTTCCCTCCCCGACGTCGTTTCTGAAGGCAACCAAACGTCCCCCTTCCACCCCGTCGGTTCTCCGCGGGAGCACGGAGCCCTTCCCTGCCGTGGATGCCTCTCCACCCGCACAGGAGGGATTTCAAGCTCTAGCTGTAGAAGGGAGGCAGGCGAGACGATATCAGGCCGGGATTTGGCCCTGCCGAGAGCACTGGTCATGCAGCCCCCCCACTGCTCCTCGCAGCCGGGCCCCGGGGGGTCCCGGGCTGTGATCAGCAGAGGGCATCTCCTCTGCTTTCTGCGTGCACCCACATGGTTCCTAGGACTGCCCTCCCCGTGAAATCTCATGGAAACATCTTGATGTTTTAAAACACTGCCCTGGTAGATAAGTAAAAGAAAACCAGCCTAGGTATCTCTTCATGTGAAATTACAGGTCTGTTCCAGTTTTCCGGATCACATTGGCTGTAAGGAAACAGACTATAACTCCAGCTTTCCACAGCAAGAGGCTGCTGTGAGCTCTTTCCCACCTTGCTCGCTCATGCCCCAGTCCATGGTGCTTTGTCAGTTCTGGGTATAATTCAGACACAGCCAACTGTATCACTGCTTTGTGCATTTTTATTTACTTTACCGTTTTAACAATACATAAGAAAGCAACTTTAAAACAGGTTTTGAAATTTAAACAATTTATCACAAATTCTTTATTGCAGCAAATTTTGATCTGGTGCATAGCCTTATAACTAGTTACAGATCAGGAAGCAATGATTACCTGTCTCTGGGGAGGGGGCCAAGTGTGTGTGGGGAATGGACAAAACCCAACCCCTGTGGCTGGCTGCTGCCACCAATTGTATTTAGGAGAGCTAAGCAAAGGAGCAGGATTAGGCCTTTATACTGGCATCATGAAATTTGTCTTCTCTTGCTTTGCAGCTGGGAACATGCAATTATGAATCCTGAAAGGAAGCGCAGCAATTATCTGTGTGGTTTCTGTGAAATAAGGTCTTTTGAATAAGGAATCGGGGGAAAATTTGAACACGGTGGGTATTGCTTTTATTTCCACTTAATTTCTAGTAGAACTGATTAAGAACGATCATTACATTTAGGCAGCAATCAACCAGAGAGTATATTTCTATTCTGTTCTTGGCACCCCAGAGATTAAGATTCCTAAAAATCTAATGCAAAGGAGAACAAAGCAAACACTATTTGAAAGTTGATCATTTAGTCACAAAGCCGAGGCAGAGGAGAGGGCTGGCTATACTTCCCATAAATAGACATCTCCAACATAAAGATTATACACACAATATTGACCTTTAAAACTGGCTACTAGCTTTGCAGTAAAGTCAATAATGAAATAAACTGCTATAGTATGCTATCCAATTAATCATTGATGTTTGTTTTCATTAGAGGGACACTCGCCACAAACAGTTCAGCCCAAAATTTAGGCATTGTGAACCTAAAATGAGCAGAAATTCCCCTATGGTGTTCTTGTAATTTTTTTTTCATGTAAAACAATTTATTAGAAACAATAACTAAGGTTTTCTGAAGGTGCATATGGGAATTAGAAAGCTTAACTAGGGAACTATAAACTAAACAATCTATTTTAATTGGATGAGACTGATCAAATGCTAAAAAGAAAGAAATATGCATTGAGGAAAATAAACTAGATTTAAGCTGCTTAATGTCTAATAATTTTAAGATGTAGCAGTGGTGTCCAAAAGAAAGCTAATTTTTATATTATTTTTTTTTAAAGTATATGGTATGTGACTGTGTCCCTTTGCAACGGTGTTGGGCTGTAAACCACAGTGATTCATATTCACATGAACACACACGTTGTAAACTTGAAACATTGGAGATTTAAAAAAAAACAAACAGAAGCACATGGTATAAAATGATAAAAAAGATTATGCTAATAAAAGCCAAATGGCAGCAGGAACAGCAGCAGCAGCTAGAACTGCTGGATAAGGCGCCGGCGCTGTGAGGTCTTCCGCAGCAGTCGTCTGTAGTCATAGGGATTATCTTCGGTTTTACTCTCTTCCAGGGGGCTTTCTGCAACCCTCGACCTAGGGATTAAGCGCAGAAGTGTTTTAGAAATTAAAGTCAAAACATTTACCTTGGCAAACACTCCTAATCGACAGCTTAACCTCCACCCTCGGGGGGAAAAAAATAAAAGGAGAAAGAAAAAAAATCAAATGACTTTGCTAGGCCTCTTCCTGTGCTGCATAAAGCAGGCACCTTGGAACAAACACATTATATACTAAAAGCAGATGAACACAGAAGAACAACATGTTCTTCTACGAAGGGGACATCATGAAAGGACATAAACCCGTTGAGAACATGGGGGCGCTTTGCAGTAGCATTTGCCTGATCATTACTGAATCAGATTTTCAGTTGGCGTAAATTTGTTTGCTCTGTTTTTAACCTCCCTGTGGAGTTCACTGTAAGTGTCCATCTCATTTTATTTTATTTTATTTTTCAGATGGCAAGATGCGTTTTGGAAGCCACCTCTGACAGGCTGGAATGGTGACCTGGCACCAGGTATTGCCATGGCACAAGATTAACTGGGTTATTTAAAAAGTATATGACTATGAAATAATTACAAAAATTTGCAGTGTTGTGTATTGAAGGTGTACCCCACCACTGGTCCCACACTCAGTGCTTCACTTCTGTAGACTGAAATGACTGTATAGTCTTTAGATCCATCTGACCCCATTCGAGAGGTACTGAAGTGCAGAAATGTTCATTAATTGCATTCATCTGCCCTCAAGAGGTTAGCAGTGTAAATCTAAAAGTTACACAGTTTTTTTCCACTAAGGCTAATCAGGATGCAATCAGAGCAGCACACAGTAAAAGGTAAGAAATTCCTTTTAGTGAGCTCAGTGGCAAAATTCTCATTCATCTAAACCAGACCTGAGAGTGACAGATTTGGTGTATTTCGCCATCCTAGAAATGCAACATTTTCCAAGGGATGTAAACTATATGGTAATTCCCTGATATTATTATTTTTAATTCCATGCCTTTGCAACACCTTCCTAAAACTAATTTAGATCCTACTTGAAAAAAATGCCAAAAATAAAATATGTAAGAGGCACAAAACGTTCTACAAACATTTTCTCTATTGCTGTGGATACATTTTCAAATTCAGCGATCATCCCAGGCTTAGTGTTTCCCTTAAGCCTTTGACCTAGGTATTTTCCAAGTTTGTCTTACAGGTATGAAGACCCAAGAAGATACAAATATATCAAGACACACAACTATGTGTTTGCACACACAATGTGTGTGGGTGCATTGGCAAGAGTGAGAGTATGAATTTCCTTAGCCCAGCAGAGGTCAGCCTCTATGAAGTCTGTGTGGGAAGAGAGGAGGTTGAGCAAACCCTCCCTTTAGGGTTTTTCTTCTGGCTGTCCACCTTGGTGGGGTCCACCACAGCCTATAAACACATATGCTGCTACAGGACAGCAGGAAAAGGAGGCCATCGAGCTGGTGCCTTGTCTGCAGAAAGCAGGCAGAAAGTTCGGCGTACATCCACCCTAACTGGTTCAGGAATACATTTTTTAGGTTCTGCTTTAGTTTAATTTGCTTTTTAGATTGGAGATTTACAGCAGGATGTCTGTCCATCTCATCTGGCACTTGGGAAGCCAAAAACTAGCAGGTAGGCTGAACGCCAATCATGCTAGCATTTGTCCCTGCTGCATAAAGATGGGAAATATTCAGCTATACATTTTACAAGTTAATTTGGCAAGATTCCATGAATAAAAAATAGATTTATGTCTAATTTGAAAGTGTATCTTTCTTTTTATGAACCTTTGGAATATCTCAACGAGGATATACAACATTTATTTTTTCATATTATTATTTTGTATGAATTACCGCTCAGTAGCTCTTAAAATTGAAGTCCTGCGCTCCACTGGGTGTCTCTTCTTTCTTGTGGTAGAACTGCTGTCCTTTGAGGTGGAATCAGTAGATGAAATTTCTTGGTAGTAGATATCTAAATCTAGCACTTTGCTCAGACTGTCAATAAATAAGTACACTAAGTTAACAGTTTCACTTTTCAATATTATATTCAACATTCAAAAATAAGGCAACCGAATATCATTCTTAGTTGTGTTTATCTGTTAAGGATTTAAGGAAAAATATATATAAGCACAAGAAATCAGTCTCTGAAATGTGACTGCTCTATGATCTAGATATTGAGAATTTTGAAATGCTAAATACTTTTATATGTTCATAAAGCAGACATATATGACTGAAATTGTTTGGGTTTGTCATTATACTCAACGGAGAGGCATTTTTATGGTATAATTCATCTGACCTATTTTAGATACCTCTTTTGAGGAAGAGATGAATAGTTTTCCTAAAGATTACTGTTTTTTTCTCTGAGTACAAGAAGAGAGTCTAAAGCAACTAGTTCAGATATCAGTGTCAATAATGCAGATGTCTCTTATGTTGTTAGATGAAAAAGAAAAAAGATGTACAGAAAAAAACAATCCCAACATCCAGTTTAGAATGGCTAGGGAAAAAATAATATCCTAAAAGCAACCTGGAAAAAGAAGTTCAGATTTCAATTCTCACATTGATAGAAACCAGAAATAACTCACTGATTTCAGTTGCTATGTTCTACTAATATAGAGTCAGCACGTGAAAAAAGATGCAGTCATGGAACTGGTTAACTAGATTTGTGAACTAGATGAGTGAAACCTAACTGAGGCCAAATGAGAGAAAACACTAGATTTGGATTTTTTTTTTTTTGGTGAAACAGGAGATGACAATGGTCATCATCGAGACATGGTTTAGTGGGTTTAGTGGGCATGGTGGCGTTGGGTAGAAGGTTGGACTTGATGATCTTTGAGGTCTCTTCCAACCATAACAATTCTATGATTTTATGAATCTATAATAGCTGTGAAATTTTTTCAGGATCCAAATGACATCAGAAAAAGAGCTATAACAGACTAGACATGGGGGACATGAACATTAAGTGAATCCTTTAAGCAGTTGCATAATCAGGTGCAATTTAAACTGTGGTTGAATGAAGCTAGATGCTGTGAGCACATATTATGTGCATGTAAATGTCATGTAACTTCCTCTAAGATATGTATTTTAGATACGGAGTTTGTATTCTGCAACCTCAGCCAAGGACCATGCTAAGAGCCCATTCATCTCTACCAGGCTACCATAGCATGCATGCTGTGGTACCATAGCAATGTCACTGGGGAGCAGCAAAAAAGCTGAAGTATAGAATCACAAATGAAATAAAGCTATGATGTATGTCCAGAGCTGTGGACCAGGTCTACAGCACACGTATGGATCTAAGATACAGAAGGGCAGAATATATCTATTGCTTGCTTTATTTCTGCAGAGATCCATCAAAATAGGTTAGTTACACTGTGAAGAAGAGACTTCTGGTTGAAATTGCAAGGGCTACTCTTCTTTATCTGTTATTAGTAATTATTGTTTTAAATTTTTATGATCTATTTCCAAATAGTCATGTATTTTTAAGAGAGAATTTTAACTGTCTTTTTATTTTTGCTGACAAAAAAAGAACTGGTTGCTCATTTGCTTTGACTGGAATTTTAAGCACCTTCAATTATTTTCTGTGTCAGAACTATCTTTGATGTGGACCTTATCTTCAGTTATTATTATGCTTGTGTTGCCATGGTAAAGAGCCATGCTGTAGTAAAACTGAACGACTGAATTCTATAATGGATTTCTGTCGTTGAAAATTGCATATTTTAACTTTGTATATGATGTCCTTCCTGTGAATCACCAAATTACTATGCTTTTTTTAATGCTTTATTCTCCTGGTTGAAGTACAGCTAAGAACTCTTTCTAGAGCACTAAAAAAGACAATAGTGAAATAATAAAAAAAATTACCTTTCTTTTCTTGGTTTCCGTTTTTCATCTTGTATTGATTTCTGAGAAAATACAAAGTAATTAAAAAATACTCAAAGGAAAGCTTATGCTAAGATACAATTCATCAATATGTTAGGTAGGAGAGCATCATATATTTTTTGTTAAAAGAAAATACAGAGAGTCTAATTTGCTAAGCAAGTGCCCCAGAAAAATCTCTTTTCAGAATCTTTGAGACCGAGAATGGGATTAGCATTGTTACTCCCAAATTTCAGTTGCCATACTGTGAAAAAAGCTAAAGTAATCACAATCAGAACAAAAAAGGAGATCTAAAACTTCATCTATAGTTGTTTTAACAAAGTTGACAACACTGTCTTGCTGAGGCAGATTTACTGTGATGCCATAGAATTTCCATGAATACTGGCAACGCAGTGGGAGAAGGCATAATCCTATTCTCATTAATGTCAATGCAGTCTTGTCACAGGTTTTAGCAGAATAAAACAGACAAAGGCCCCATTTAAAAAGCAGTATACCAGGTGGCAAAAGCACCTTTAGGATACAAGACATCTAGAAATGTAGAGGAGAGAAGATTCATAGGGAACGTGAATAATTTCTTATCTCTAATAGATTTCTGTCCCTACAGCCAAAACAATGCTATGTTGCAGCATCTAACACATCACACTTCAAAAGCAATATTTTTAAGTGCAGATGGTCTTAATTTTGGTCTTAATTGTGTTTCTTGCAAACGAGTGAAAACTTATTAGAATTAGTGACTGTAAAGTCACTGAGGATGAGGAATCCTGATGGACTTCAGTATGCAGGCAAACGGACAAGACATATAATTTCAAAATGATAGGCTGATTTAAAGAAATACACCCCAAAATAAATTTTTACTGTCTTGTATAAACAATGGGCTATTGTCAGGCTTCATTTATACCTGTGTACCCCTTTAGCTCATTTGATATGCAAGGAGGTGAGTGAGAATGGAAGGTGTCTAATTAATATCTGTAACATGATGTGAGAGAAATATCCTTTTTTGCAGAAGATAAAGAAAATTTTTCAAAAAATGCAGTCAAGTTGTGTGCCTTCACTTTCAGGTGATCTGGGCTTGATAACCATCTGCGAATACCTGCAAGTCACAGAGATTTTTAATAAGGCAGAAAATCCATGATAGCTGGGAAAGCTGACTACCCTCAGGTATCTCAAGTTAGACCTCAATGATTTACCTGAGGTCTATGAATTTAAGAACTAGTAGGTCTCCTTTCTAAGCTTCAGTGTATAGATATTTATGCCGAACCTTTCCCTTACCAGTGACCTTAATGTCAGGAAGACAGGCTTCTCTTTTTCACACCTTCTTCAAAAATACAAGTAATTGAAGGCAATATTGATTAATACTTTGAAAAACTGATGCTAAAAATTTGTTTAAAAATTCCCTGGCATTACTGCAGTTTTTGTTTGCACTGATGTGATGCCTGTTTTCTGATATGGAGCTGGTCATGTAATAAATTTGCTTTCAGAAAATACTATGTTCCTGACTGTATAGTCTTGACTTTGTAAATATGCATTTACTTCAGAATTACTCTTCTCCTCAGAAATTTCCTAATACAAAATTCAGTGTCATGCTTTTCATTTCAGTCCCTTTCTCTCACCAATCTTGCTTTCACAAAACAAATCTTATTCTTACATGTGAATTTATTTTTAAAAATATAATTTCTTTTCAGAATATCACTGTTCCAAAGCTGTGTTATTTCAAAGCCCTCATAATAAAACATAGCCATATTTGTCTTTTTTGGTATGCCAGACACAACTCTCCCTAAAGGCCCTGGTGACACCTTCTGTTGAAAGGAGAAGCAATTGTTGCGGTTAGTTTATTAGTTGGGCTCTCACCGGCTGGTAAAATAGGTCACTAAGATACAGGCACCTCGAGCAAATGAGTTTAATTGCTTTTTTGTTGGAACTGCTTTCTGAGCTGCTTTTACATTTTCCCTCTTTCTGCTTACTTTCTTGCCTTTTTTTCTGTCTTTAAGGGCACTGAAGTCGAGAGTGGAAAGCAGCACTTGGGATCTGAACTTGGACCAAGGGCTATATATAGAGACACTCAAATCCATTAGTCTCCTGAGCTGTTGGTATTTGCCAATTCCTTCATAATCACAATCTGACACATTTGTAAAGGAAGTTACAGTGTGCATACTAATACAGCCTATTTTAGTATTTGCTTTCTCTGCAAGATCAAGCACTAATTTAGATGCTCAAAATAGTTTTCCGAACAAACCTGTTTCTTTCCCATGACTTACACAGAAACTATGCAGACCAGGCACTTAATTTGGGTATTGAAAGTGCAAATGCTGCTTATGCATATAATGAATGTACATATGTTTTGGTACAAAAGTAAAAATTGGTCGGACCTAGGTCCCCAATCGGGGTAGCTCCAAACCTCAATTTCAAGTCTAGTTTGAAATGAGAAGTTTGTGGCCTGACTCCTTTGAGCAGGACACAGCTTTTAGGCTGCATTAGAAAGGAATATAGAGAATTGGGCAATTAGAAAGAAAGTTAAGGTGGGAATTCTTTGGCAATTTTAGCCCACAAAAGCTTGCTAAACTTACATGTATTAGAGTGTAGTAGGTGGAGTCTTCTGGATTATTTAATGTCTTGGGTTTCCGTGGCCTCCTTGGGGGTCTCTGCATTGGGCGAGAGTCTTCTACTTTGGCCGCAACTGTAAAATAGAAGATAGCAATGCTTATTTCTTTACAAACGAGAGGCTTTTACACAAACAGGAGAGAATTTCACCAAAGAGAGCAAAAAAATCCACATAGCCACTTTTGCTGCTTGCAGTAACTCAAGAAAGCAACTGTTTTGGGCATTTCCATCACCAGACTGGAAAGGAGAGTGGGTTTATCCATTTGAGTCCTGACTACCCACAGGGACACATGCCACGTAACAAATGTCAGGCTGGAACAGCCCAGCAGTCTGCCTGGCACTGGCTTCTCCTTCTGAAAGGGGTTGATGCTCCACATTCAGAAAAGGGCTTTGAAGGGTAATGGCTACTGGAAGGCTACCATCTCATAACAGGGACCTGGGCAGCAGGGATGGTATTTTTTTCAGGCTCAAGTCCATCATTAAGGTGCCAAATGAGGGAACTAGCATTAGACCTCCAATTCGGAGGTTGGTCGTCGACATTCTTATGGTGTAGATTTGCCTCAAAGTCTCCTGTTGAGGCTGTTCGTTTCAAGTCAAATCATGTACCACGGGGCAACACAGCGTGACCATGTCCATCGCATGGATGTGTAATCTAGGTTAGTGTACTCAACTTCTGGTCTCTATTTCTACAAAAACTTTCTGCAAACATGCAAAAAAATGCTTTCATTCTAATGGAAACAAATTCAAGATTTTAACACAAAATGGAACTGCTGTCCTCTGGCAGTCTCCAAGCTCAGAGTTAGACACTGACTTGTGGATTACATTGGCTGCCACATGGGGAACTAGAAAAATATCTTGGATATTTGCTTGTTAAAAATCTGTATGCAATTCTGACAGTACTAAGATAGAGAGCTGGTAAGAGTTCAAAGGCTGTTTGTCACAGAGCCAACACAGAGTGCAGGGTTCCTAATGCCTTATTCTTGGAGACCACAGAACTGACTTGGGGGGCTGAGGGACCACCAGAGTACAGCATGGTGGGCATGATCACCTTACATTTGGCTTCAGCTATAGGAAAAGTTAATAGAGGGCTACAGCAATTCTTTCATGATGAGGGAGGAGGGGGTTGCACAGCTGCAGAACACCGGCCATAGAGATGGGTCATAGGGACACATGTAGGGTGATGAATGAAGTCACAGCACAAGGTTTAGTCATGGTGAACTATGCGTCCAGGTATATTGCATTATCCAATGAGGTTTTATATTGTCCTTGTCCCATCACAGAAGTATTCAGAGGACAGTCCATGAGAAAAAACATCTCCTTACTCATAAATTAATATAGTGTGAGGGTGGAATGAGGATCTAGCTCCCAATAAATTGCTGAAGTGTGTTCTGCTGATCTAATCATCATTCACATGAAGCAACTTTAACTGTATGACCCAGATGTGCTAACTACATGTGACTGAACCTTAGAAGGAAGAATGTATTTTGTTCTCTAATGACCATCAGAAACTCTTTTATATGGTAAAAATAAAAACTCTCCCATGTACACCAGACATCTTTTTGATTAAGGAGGTAGCACAATCATTTAAAATGAGAAATGATCAGTAATACATCGGTGTTGAGTCCTGCAAAATTAGCTGTGTAAGTTTTTTGTTATGTGTGATAAATAAAGGCTTGTAAAGGTCATGGATATACAGAGGAGCCAGAATGAATAATCTTAATTTAAATTGTAGTTGGATAATGATTACATTTATTGTTTTAGTTTCTTATCTGAAATGCAGACTGCTTCTCATGTAATGAATGAACAAATATCTTTTAACATTTTGCACTTAAGACAACAATGGTGTTTTTCTAAGCCAGGGTACAGATAATTCATGTTAAACAATGAAATTTAGATGCAATAAATTCATTTCAGTAACCAGTATTAAATATAAATTACATTCTTTGATTTGAATAGGTGTAGCAGGCCTGACTGTGCCCTTATGTGGGCTGTTGTTACCTTGCTGCGTTTCAAATGGGCCACCTGGAGTCATCTGAATTTTCATTTGTGAGAGAGCAGAGGCATATCTTCCCTATTTTATTTTTAAACACAACAGGAGCCTAAACTAGAAACAATGGCTTAAAAAAAAACCCTTAAAATTCAGTGTAGTTGAATAGCAACACCTTATCTCTTGTCTATAGCACATTTTCAAAATTTGTGTCAAAGATCATGACTGCATGAAAATCTGGAAAAAGAAAATGAAGCCAAACTGGGGGCTTTAGGAAAATCCCAAGGAAAAGGCTCTCATAATACCTAAAGATTTTTTATTGTCCCCTAAGAATTCATCACTATGTATGCTGTTACGTTATTTAATTCATCATTGTCAAACACATAAAGTATTATCGTATTCTAGATTACAATTATTCCAACTGAATTACTTGTATACTTCTTGCATATGTGCTCTGCAAAGAAGCCTCCTCTTACATTCAAAAAACATAATTTTGACAATGATAAGGTTTTCAGTAAAAACGATCTTTTAATCTCAGCTCATGTGTTGTACATATGTATGAGCTATGCAAAAGAATTGAGGGGACAGAAATACCATGTTGGGGCAGGCAGCCTTTTAAGCTGGCAGCTCCATTGTTCCTTTTAAAAATTACATATAGGGCTGAAAATGCAATTCTGAGTTTTGTCTCCAAATTACACTGTGATTAAAAACTAGTTTGATGGGTTTAGCTTGCTTTGTTTCACCAGAAAGTGAACCTGTGATTTCCTTCTGCATTGCTACTGAAATACAGCTGATGTGGTAGTTGCTTGTATTGGATAACTCATGGCACAAAGTAAAATTTGCTTTTTTATTAGTTGCTGGTAATTCCAGAAATCATTTACTTAGTAGAAGTAGAGGTGGAAGGCAAATTAAATACTCAAGCCTGATAAATGGTGAGTTTGATGCGCTTGTTTTCCAGATGGCCTATACCTTTCTGCAGTAGGCAATGAAGCAGAAAGGAGGAGTAAAATAATTCACTTATTAATAGGCCAATTACGTTGCTTCTAGTGTCCATTACAAAGAAAAGGTTTTTACTGAAGCCCTGTCTCTCCATAGTAAAATATCATATAGCCTATTTTCCCTTAAGACTTCAAGTATCTCTAGCAAGATCTGGTGGTGTGCTTTATAGGTAAAAGGAAAACTGATGCTTTCTATCTAACAAACATGTAAATAGATATGTTACAACATTGATATGAAAACCATTCACAACAATGGCTGTCAAAGCACTTTGGAAATGTCAGGTTGGCGCTATCATCTCTATCCTACCAGCAGAGCAAATGAGATGCACAAAGCAAGACACACAAAGACTTGCTTAAGGTTATGTCCCAGTTAGTCATTAACAAACACAGCTACGGAGCTGGACTGAAGGACTGTGCTGAAACTCCCCTTTCTGCAGCCAGCCTATCCCTTGCAGTTATATCTACCTGAAAGGTACTGCCAGTGCTGCAACACATGCCCTAGAAGCAATGCGTAGGAGAAACGGGAAACAAAAACATTTGATGCTACACAGATATTCCTTTTTAAAGGTTTTACCAAGAGGAAGACAGGTCTAATGAGTTGAAAGGAAGGATTCCGTCAAAAACAAGAGGTTTTGCTGTCGTGACCTGGATGCTTTACTTTTGAACCTCAACAGCAAATGTAAGCCATGCTGTCACCCATGCCCAGGAAGTTAAATCTCTCTCCTGCCCAAACCTGAAGCAGACTGTCAAAACATACATTTGATCAAGTGATGATGGAAAGTGTAATAAAAGTTAAGGTCATTCTCCATGAGAATGAATGAATTACAGAGAAGGGTCAGTGAAGGCATGTGAACAGTGTGGCTGCCAGGTAACATTAAAGAAGGTTTAGGAAATCTAAGTAAAATTCCTTATTCCTATCAGTATCTCAGCTAGCTCGTTTAACACTACCCCAAAGGTTCCTACCTAAGTTGCACACACAGTCTTCGACTCTATGGTGTTCAGTTACAAGGTATTACTACCTTCATACTCAGGCCTCACTGAAAGCTCCAAATACAGTGAAAAAATAAGAAAAGGCACAATGAAATTTAGGACCAACTCATTTAACGTATGTGTATCCTGAATACCACCACGAACTACGGAAACTGTGGAGAGCTGCATGTGCTTGAAACATTCAAGTATGAGCAAGAAATGCTTGAATAAAGATGAGTCAGTATCAACAGCCCTTTAGGTTGAACTGTGTTTGCACATTCTGGTATACAACGATAAGCTTGGAAGACAACAATCTCGAGGAACCAACATCCATGGATGCTAATGTAAATTAACGTATGACTTACAACAGATCTTATACTGAAGACTGGAGAAATAGTGTGATTATAGGTGTGATAAGCATCTAAGTGATGAAAGGTCTCTATTTATTAGGCCACCTGGAGAAACAGATAAACCCGTCTTCAGGTCATTTAAGTGAAATGTTACATGTTTGATTCAGCGCTGTTCCACATCTCACTTGGAAAGAAGTACAAAGCCAGGCTCAGAATAAAGTAGGAAGAAAAACAAGAGTAAGAGCAGTAATTGTATGGGTTTTGCAGAGGGGCTTGGATGTAACCAGAAAAATGCAGACATAGTAACTGGAATTCCAGGATTTGAGAATTTAACAGGTATTACTGCTTACAACATTTATGTGCATACCTTTTTACTGTCCTAACTGTACACAGTGTGAAGATGTAATTACTCAAGTTTGGGATTTGTACATAGAAAAGCACTGCTCTCTAACATTGCCATTAGTAATTTTCAGGTATCGTTTATTCATGGGATGTTTACCACAGACAGATTTGGAAATTATGTTTGATGGGTGCAAATTCTTAGCAATCTGGAAAAAACAGAGGGATTATTCTGGAACAGACCTAGAACTAGGAACTGCAAGAGATCGAGAACTTTCTGATTGCATACAGCGGGAGTTGAGAGTGTTTGATCTCTCATGCCTAAGTCCTGTCAGCCCCATGGAGGGACGCAGTTTCAGTCTCTGGCTGACACTAATATTCTCATTTCTGAGAGTCTGGTGACCTGGGATTATTGCTATTTAAGAGAGGATGTTTAAGGAAAATGACTGTACTCCCATTCTGTGACCTCCCAAATCTTATGCTCTGCCATGGATCTGACCAGCTCCCAACACAGGTCTTGTACGTCCTGGCTGCATGGTGTCCAAAGGGCCACTCCAGTAGCTGAGAACAACCAGACAGCAGAAGTGCTTGACTACCCTGCTTTTCTCCAGTCCCACGCCTCAGTGCTCCCTGGCTGGCCACTCACTTGCAAAGAAGAAAGACTGGCCAGTGAGTACTGCTCTGCTCACTCAGTGCTACACAGGCTCCCTTTTCCTTGCAAAGGCTGCCCATGAAAGCTCCCTAAATAGAGCTGCAGCAGCCTGCAGCAGGAGGAATCCTGGATGAAAACCCTGGCTGTCTCACTGCTTCGTGTAGCTGAAAAGGTCCTCAGCTGCACTGGAGTTTCCTGTACCGTGTGAATTTCATTCTAAATATAGAAAATTCTCTTAGTGAGATTTTGTACTTGAACTGTCATTTAATACTTGGAAGGATGGGCACCATTATTCATCTGGAGAAAAAAGAAAAGATTTGCTTCCATAATGATCAAATTCCCCTCATTTCAGGCTTTGACCTCAAAAATTTGACAGTGGCCATTTGTGCATCTATTCTGACACCACAGTAACCCATGGCTCTTTAGCTGTCCAAAGGTGCAGTCCTGGGATGCAGCCATTACGTTTAGCTGAAAGCATTTAGCAAGCAAATATAACCTACTCAGAAATTTGAGCCACAGAGAATATTGTTCCAGGAACCTTGTGCAGCTTGCTTTATGCATTTTTATAAATACAAATAAATTCACTTAGGAACAACTTAACCTTGTGGATTTAAGATTCATTTAGCCTTTTTGCTCATATGTTCTTTAAATTGCAGGATTTGCATTTTTATTAAAATAAACAGCTTTGAAAACCTGAACATTTGTCACAGTATGCCATCCAGCTGTCCCACAGCTCCTCCTGTTCTGTGGGTAGCAATGTAATAAAATATTTTATCAAAGGAGCCGGGAAGTTCTCAAAACTGAACAATGGCCACCTACCTACAGATGAAGGCAGACAAGTATTCCTATCTGGCACACAGCTATAAAATACAATTCATGTGTTATAGCTGTAAAACGACTTATAAAACTAGTGAAGCCGAGGAAGAAGTGTAAATAAATGTAAATGACCAAAGTAATTGCAAACAGGTAAATACGACATGATTTAAAGAACAGCTAAAGCTCAACAATCCTCACCTTCATAAGGGTAGGACAGCAAAGGTAGCCCTAGAGGGAAACCTGCAGTAAAAACATATCCTTTTGTAAAGGTGCATGTATAAATTGTACTGTAACACATAAAGTAGGCAAGAAGACAGGAAGGCTCCTCCCTGTTTAGTAGACAGTGGATCACTCACCACATCTACCTGCTTCACTTTAGCATGACAGTCTGCAGTATATTGCCTCAGGTCTTTGTTTTATGTAGTTCTCTTCCTGTATTGCATACAGGGAGAAAGTACGATATCCAGAATGCTGGTAACTCCTGTGTTGTAGACAGTACAACCTAAATGAACTGAACACAGGCATTTTTTTTACTTAAATATTCTCTATGTCTAGTTAGATCATGTTTGCTATGATAAACATCTACTTAAGACAATGCAGCTTTGTGATTGAACTCTGCAATGCTTAGGCTCCAACTGCCTCACAGGCAAGCTGGGGAATTACTGCAGTGTATTCTCTTACTTCAATATCCTGTGCATTGGTCATTCCTGTTGTGTGAATTATGTTCAAATGCAGAAGAAGAAAGTTCACATTCCACACCAAGAAAGGTCTTTCAGTGAAGTGGTCAGAAGTTAAATATACGGTCGTGGGGATGTGAGAAATCAAGGCTCAGGTCCCTGCTGCCATGGCTCCATACCCTAGGTGAGCAGCTGAGCCTGGATCCACTGTCAAACACACTGTTGCAGAGTGAAACTTCACATCATGGCGGGGAAGGATGGTAGAACACAGCACTTGACTAGAACCCAGCTGACCTTCCTTTGCGTTTTTTTAAAGTTCGATGTCTGGCAAAAGTTACCATCGTTACATCTATCATGAGTAGCCACACAAGTTGTATGAGGTACATGGGTCAACAACAGAACACAGCAAACACAAACTATGACTGCCCAGCTCAGACCAGCTAGGCAAGAAGGGCCAAGGAGCCAGACCTAGCTCAAAGTATAATACTGCGTCTTGTATCAAGGGAAAGTTGGCTACAGAAAGACTGGGAACAAGAGTTCTGTCAAGAACTGGAAGAGGACTGGTTTTGGGGTGGTTTGACTTACTGGAGCAGAGCATTCAGTAAGTGACTAGTTGGACAGCAGTAAATAGGCTGGAAGGGCTAGTTTGGTTTTGAGACAGAAGGGGCCAATTCATGTACTACAGTGTTTAAGGGGTAGGACAACTTTATCTGCCCTGTGCTTTAGTGGTACGTTTCTCTGTAGTAAATTCCATCATTGCTTCTTAGTCAAATAGCACCCACTATTTCATTTTAAATGCATTCAGCTTTGAAAAGAGTAACTCCTTCTGAGCTCTGTACTCACCTTGTCTACATGCTAACTTGCAGCAATTTGATCAAAACCAAAAGGATGTGTCCACCATATTTATTTTGAAAAAAAGATATTTTGCTAAAATCCTGCATGAGCCATCTTGAAATGAGCATGCCTTGACTACAAAGTATGTTTTAATCTATATGAATATCAGCATTCAGGACTCTCTTTTTGATGCTTCCTACTGTTTTAAAGTTATGATTGCTATTGCTGAAATTTTTTGTAAAAGGCAATTAGTCAAAATAGCAAACATTCGATTTTTGCACCCATAAGATAAAGAGAAAAAAAGGAGGGGGCTTGTAATTCATCAGAATTTTCTTAGAGATTTTGCCTGATGCACAAAAGAGCTAAGTGCTGTCATTTCACACATACAGACATTGGTCAGGAGAAAATCCTTCTTTTGTTAAGACCACACAACATTAGCTTGTAAAAAAATCTTATTTTCTTTTATTTATTAAAATGAGGACAAAGACCTGGTCTCCTGTGCAACTCAACTGTTTCAGTGTTGTCTTAAAAAGCATTTTGAGTTGGTTCAAAGAAATATATGACATTCTTCATGTCAGTGTTCAAAAGGATACAACGCAACACTTTCACACACTTTACCATTGGAAAAACACTGTATTATAACAACACAGAGGTTTAAAGCAGCGGGACATTTTCAGAGATAAAGGGAAGTGGCTGACTGGTCACCACTTTAAGCGGGGTTGCATGCACAGGTGACAAACCCTGGCATCCTTTTGCCTCCTGTAGAGCTACTTAAATTTATAGCAATGTGAAGGCTAGACTTTGCTCCATTTTGCACATGGCATGAACATACCGATACATTTTCACCTGGTTCACTTGTGTAAGTAATGCAATCTTTAACTGATAAAACAGGGATCTGTGTATTCCCTTTCCCTCTATCTACCTCTCTTTTCTAGCTTTTGTAGGAAAATGTGTAAGAACCAAGAGTTATTTTCCAAAGCACGCATTTTTATTTCCTCAGGTTTATCTTGTAAAAAATCAGCAATATTTAATACGGAACTCAGTAAAAATCCATTAATGATGACCACAAACATTGCTCTGTTTTCAATGAAAGATCATGGCACTTAGTTTTCCATTTCACATTTGTTTTCTCTTGCAGACTTTGGTCTTGGAAACAGGCTGAACTACATAGATTATCTACCAGGAGGCAGTTTACACATAGAGGTTAGCTTTTGTAAACACTAACCCTCATTTTAGCAGCTTGCCCATTTGAGAGGACTGCAAAGCAAGGGTGCAGTACTTTTAGGATCTTTTCAATGTAGTCATGGGAACAGAAAGAAGTTTCAGGATACATGACAAGCAAATCCACAGTGTTATAGTGAAAAGAGTACCATTAGCTCTGGGCAGCGAGGGACAGTCCTGCATCTCCTGTGCAGAGGCGAGCGGAGATCTTCCCCAGAGACAGTGCAGTGGCATGGGCTAGCACAAGTCCCAGTGCAGAAACACAGGCCCACCCAGTCATCTGCCACATTTGCCCTCATCTTCCTCCACATCTTCAGCCCAGGACACACGTTGAGGAAATCCCTGTTACATCTACTCCAACTGAAGAGGCTTGAGCAGCTCACTCAGGTCTTTGTGGACCTCTCTGTCGGGCACAGGTCTTAATGAACTGCATGCTCTGAATCCCATGCCTTCCACCTTTATTCTCCCAGTACTCCTCCACACTGCCACCTAACCTGCTCCAAGAGTCCTTGCATTTTGGGAACCCCCACTGCCCATGTTAACTGGAATATAAATAACTTTGGAGTGTATTTTCAGAGGTAATGTCCTCTTAAGTGAGTTAAATGGACGCCAATTATTAATATAACTTTAATTGTAATTTTAAGGATATACCCACCAACATGGCTAGGAGTCACAAGTTTTGATAGCCTCAGTTGCACTTCTGGAAAGCTAAAACTTTACTGAGCATATATGTGACAAACTTTGGTAAATTGTTTGACATAATACCTAAAAAATATTTTCTTTTTAAAACATAGACCCATATCTTACCAATAGCACACAAAGGTGAGCAACATATGAGTAAAAAAGAGCCAATGTGGAATTTTTACCAAATAAAAGTATTCCTAGAGATGCTATGTCTAGGTCTCACAATGATTCATTCACCAATCTTAAGCAGCACTAAAACAAAATACCAAGAAAAATGCTAAATATGTAAATCTCAACCAGGCTTGGATATTTCTCCAGAGACTATGTTCCAGACATGGACTGACATGTGGCTTAGTACAAAAATGTACAGCCTGAGTTATATGAGAAGCCAGAGCGAACTCAGCTACTAGTTCCCTGGCCTTTAAAAACATGACTAGGAGTCACTTCTTCACAGTCCTGTTTACAAATGAAAATTCTGCTAACAGTAAGGTTCAACATTACCTGACTGACAAACATGAGAAGAAAGTCGGCCATTAGTTTGCTTATCTTTGGACAGCATCACGGGTCTCAGCTGATGTGACAATATCATTTCATTCAATTTTTGCTGCAATGCTAAGTAGTCTTCAGATAATTTTGATATCTGAAAAATATAACACAGGATTTTACATTATTATATAAATAAGTATACATGTTCCCAGGTAATCAAAGGTAAAATAGTGGACTAGAGAATGAATTTAAAAGGTATTGCTCCGCCTGCTGCTGTGTAGATCCCTGCCACATTTACCTCCACATTCTCCTAAAGGAAGAATGGAAAAAAGAAGAAGAAGGGAAAAAAGACACCTAGGAAACTCCACACTGCAGCCCAGTCCTGCAGTTACTTCATATTGGTTCACACATGTGAGCAGATGGTGCCTTGCTGATGCAAAATAGCTTCTACAGCTGTAGGCGTACATCTCTGCACATGTGCGAGTCCCTGACATCGACACAGCAACTTTCAGTTTCATTTACAGAGACATTTCACAAATTTACTGAATTAAGGGCCTTGCCTGGTAAACACACATTTTAACAAACAAGGCAAAGCTTCTGCATTTAACCTAAACCAGGTTAAAACTAACATAATTTTTTGCCAGTGCTCTTTGTCTTTCCCTCCTTTCTGAAAAGGGTGTTTTCTCTTGCAGCCCAAAACATGCATGTTCATAGAACACTCATTACAAAATTTTAGTCTTAGTTTAGAGAGTAAAACCTTGGTGCCACTGAAGCCAGTAAAATAACTTTACCATTCTGTTATTGCTCAGAGTATTATGCTCAACATACGTAGCTTACAAGCTTCTTACCTGCCGCGAAAAGGCTGCCAAATCACAAGCAAAACTTTCCCTGAGTCTCCCTTCAGTGTCTTAGAGTCTTCAGGCTCCGTACCGGTGCTTTCCCTATCTTTTGTTGTTTCGGGATCATTATTTTGAATGTGTACTGCTTCTGTTGGCTCCTTTATAGTTTTCTCTTGACTTTTGCAAGGTAGTTTCCCTTCTTTTCTGAGTTGTCCCCTCCTTCTGTAACCCCGGTAACTGCTCTGAATAACCACTGCTGCCTTCTCTTTGTCTTCTGAACCTTGTTTTTCTGCCTCAACTTGCTTCCGTGAGCCTCTTAGTGACTCTTTTCTTACAATTCCTTTACAACCTGTAGGCATCACTGCTTCATGTTTCAGGTGGTTTCTTTCCACATCCCTGTCAGTCCTGGGCTGGACCACAGCAGGTTCTTGATTTTGCCCATCTGCACTGAGTGTGTCTTGATTATCTTGCTTTTCTTGGGGACCAGGTTCAGCCGTGATTTTGACAGAAGATTTGCTGGACAGCTCTTCCAAAGAGGCCTGTTCTTCACCTTCGCCAACATGTTCTACTGCAGGGTTCTGCTTCACAGAAGCTCCCTTTCCTTCAGTAGATGTTTTCTGTTGCTCCTGTACATTGCCTGTGTCACTGTACCCAGAGCACTCGCTGTCAGTAACAGCATCAGCTTTGTCTTGAGTCTCCTTGTATGCTGCTTCTTCCAGTGTATTGTTTTGAGCTGGCTGCAGTTGTGCTTCAAGGAATTCCACAGCAGATAATTCTTCCTCTGCTATTTTTTTGCACTGGTCCTTTATTTTTTTGCGGACTCTGTAGCCTCTGTAATGGCTCTGAACAATGACAGCTGCTTCTTCTGTTTTAGGAAGGGGACTCTTCACTCCAGCTGGACTTTCCTCATTATCTTGGAGTTCTTCATCCTTTTCATTTTTGCTAATGGATGCTGCATTTTCAGTTTGTTTCTTTCTAAATGATTCCCTGAATGGAATAGAGTTTTGGGCAAAAATTATAGCTGAAGGAGATGAAGGATTTACAACTACTTTTGGTGGTGTTTGTGTACTAAATGGCAATTTGTTACGTTGCAACATGGGAAAGATTTAGTGCATATAGCTGGAATTAAAGATAGTAAACCAATCTCTATCTTTCTGATGATCATTATTTCTTAAAGTGAAAAGGAACATCCCTGTTAAATTCTTCATGGAAAATTGCTAGGGAAACAATCTAGGCTGCATGAGGGCTCATAAAACAGTAAAGAATTAATTTAAATATTAACAAAAACATAAGGCAGAAACTTTTTAGCACCTCAAATATGTATAAACACACACAATTCTAAATGTATTCATGAAAGAAAACTGCCTGAAGTCACACTAGGAATGCAAAAAGAACAATCCTGGGCATAGGTCCAGGTCAAATTTAAAAGACCTATTCCCTAAACTGTCTTTGTTACTATCAATAAAACTTCAGTGCCAAATGAAACCTGCTATCCTGTTCCTTCCCTCTGAAAGATCCTGGACTCCTTCACAGCTGTTTTCCACCTCTCTGGACTAGTCTCCACCTACTTAAATGCTATCACTGAAAAAATGATGGTGATGAGCTAAGTGCTACTAGCTCCATTTCAGAGATTGGGACTACAATGACATTGCAAAGATATTTACAATGGGATTCACCTCACCTAACTTCTACCTGTTTGATCTGAGCAAGACATCTGGGTTCCCGCTGCTTATCTCAAACAGGGATTTAAGATGAGAACAGTTTCTTGCAGATGCCTATTTCTCGCTCTTGTCTGACCATTTTTTATGACTAGTTCCAAGAAGAGACTCATTTACAGATTACATTAACATTACAGATAAGCACAATATTGTTGATTTTTCCCCTAAATATGCCTTTATTCCAAGGGCTTAAAAATATGAGCAAATTAACCTCCACATAAATGTACATTACTTCTGCACACATAGCTAGAAAAATCCTAATGTGCTTCACTTTTAGCTTACATTGCTGTTCTTCAGCAGTGTAGTTACTGAAAAGGGATATATTTGAGTGACATAAGAGAGAGAAAATAACTCTACCTCTTCCTTTTGAAGATCTTCCTCTCCTTATATCCCTTGTAGTGAGACTGAATTGTTATTGCTGCTTTGTTTCTTGTCTCAGTTAGTTCTTTTCTCTTCTTCCTGAGTAAGTATCCTCTGGCAACTGATACAAATTGTAACACAAAACAACCATAGGCAACAAGCAATGGATGTCCCGCACATTTCAGAGAGTCAAATGATAACAGCATTAAACAAAAAACAATAAGGAAATATGGACCAGGGTGGTTATTATGATTACATTTCATCTGAAATTATTCTGTCCCACAAAACTTATTCTGAGATTTCAGAAAGCTGTACCCATTCTATGTGAGGATACCTCTTTCTTTGTATTTTATTGGACTAAAGAAAATACAGGAAGATGCAGAATGAAGCAGAAGCATAGTGCTATGGAAGTGCCTCTAGAAGACAGTGCTTTCAGCTTCATGTACCTGCTTTGCCTGATTTGGGCCACTGATTTGACTCAGTCTTTCACTTCCCTGATTATCAGGCTATGGAGATTACTAGGCTGTCTTCTGGCACAGGCTTGGAATTAGCTGAATATTCACTAGATCAGAGAAAAACTGAAAATTTTATAGCTTAGCAGTTACAGAAGACTTAGCTCATGCTCCTTTTGCAAAGACTCATTATTCAAAATGAAAAAGCTCAGCATGAAAGATGTGCTAAGCTCCACAGTAACCAGGTGCAAGGGTACTCGCTGCTTGTGCTTTGTGGGGGGCACAAATTCAAGTTTCTGGTCTGAACCAGGATGAATAAAGACTCAAACATGGGTCTTCCCTGAGACATGTAGGCGCTGATGAATCACTAGGAGCTTGATGCAGTTGCCAGCACATAGTTATGTAGTGCCATCTGAAGTGCTCCAGGATAGCCAAGGCGTCTACATGGAGCTGGCAGGAAGAACAAGACAGACAGGACTTTCTGGAGAGAGAAAGTTGGGTATACCACATGAAATAAAGCTGGAGGCCAGGCAAGATAACCTAGGGCATCTCAAATAACACTAGATACCAATATGGGGGCAAATGAGCTGAGCATTTGGTGGTTTTGAGTAAGATGAATCAAACTCTAGACTGTGCTGACTATAAGAGGAGTTTAGACACCTAGGTCACTTTTAGACATCTACACTGTAGTGTCTTTATCAGAAACTGAATTCCATTCAGAATGTTGCTTCAAAAATTCATAAACTTGCAAATAATTTCCTAATAGGGTGGCACAGTCTCCACAGTGCTGTCATTTGGACAAGTCTGCAATTTCAGGGATTCAGCACAAATCCGCTAATCACTGGCAAAATAAAAAGAACAGTGTTTTGTCAAAATATTTCTGTTGAACTCTAATTCCAAAGGCAGTACCGAGACTATGAGGACAGAGGATTCAGGTGATTTAAATACCCTGACGAGATGGTAAATATGGAAGCTCCTACTCCAACTCTGCTGAGAGTGTTTTGCATCACAGGGAAATGTCAAGCTCACTTTAAGAATGAGAAAAGAGCATAAGCAGTCTATTCTAACATATCATATAGCTTGGCGCTCATAATATAGACCAACTTGGGCTCCACTAGATGCAGTGGTTCAGTGTAAGAAGCACTGTATAAAAGGGACATAAATTAGATCTTGATAATTAGATATAGGGTAAGGGAACCCAAAAACTTTTTGGAAGTGGCACAATTGGTTTTCATACTGCAGTCTGACAGGGTGTTAGACAAGTGCAAATTGTAAAGCAGTTGGAATACTTCTAGAGTTTCTTGGACTTCTGAGCCAATCGTCATTCTATTTTCATAAAAAAGCAACTCAACAGGAGTTCTTTTTAAATAAATCAAGTTACATTGTCAATGCTAATGTAATGTAAGTCAATGCTAATATAAGCTAAGTCTGGTCTTTTGAGACTTATTCTGGTTCACCTTTGAAGTTTCCTGAGAATTTTGTTATGAGATAGTAGCCATCTAAGCTTTGTTTTCAAACTGGAAGAGGAGTTTTGTATTGCTTTAGAAATAAAAGGGGAGACAAAACCACAGCACTAAGTAAAAATGGATTTCCATTTTGTTCTGGCTTCTCATGCACAGAAAAAAAGTTGAAATGAAACTGCACACAGGAAAAAGAAGGTGGACAAGAAGAAACATTGGGGAGATCAATAAACAGAGCAAAGTGGTAAATTCATACTTATGCATTTGGTAAATATCCTAATATAATTGACAACTTTCAGATGTGTAATTATTTTTGGCACATCACAGGATTTTATTGTCGTTTTAGCTTGTTTTCTACACTGATGGAGTTTCACCAACTGCAGTGAAGTGCTCTTCAGTACACACTAATGTTGGCTCAGTGCAATTAAGAGATGCATCTGACAATGATTAAAACCAGCACTGGTGTTCATATATACTCATGAAGGCATATCTGAGGTAGTTTAGATAGCCTGGGTACCGACAGCACTAGCTTATATTTGGGGTTGCTACCTTTGCAATTACTGAAAGTACTGTGCAGATTTGTGCCAGCTGTTTTCAGACCTGTGCCTCTCTAGTTGTACTGCTGTTGATTTCAGAGCTGCCTAGACTATATCTGGCTTGGGGACATCTTTGCAGAGAAGGAGAGACAGAAATATAGGGAGGAAGAAGGGATGTCACATAGCATACATCTGGGCCCAAGGTGATTATTGCTGCAGAAGAGAAGGAATATTTTGCTAGGTTAGATTGAGTGATGGCAAAAAAGGAATCACAGACATAAGTGAAATTACAGGTTGTAGTCTTCTCAAACATAACTATTACTGATATGTAACAAAACCTATTCCTAATAGAACAGCATGCACACACACATTATATGAGGCACTGTCATATGAGGCAGCTGTAATACTTAGACATATCAGACTAGGAGTGAAAAAGCTTGGTATGGCATTTCCGCAGCCCACTTCACAGCTGTGGAAAGTACCTCTAAGCCACTTCGAGATACAGGTAATAGAATACATTGATCTGTTTCAACCCCTGTATATAGATACATAATGATAAATTATACCTCAGAATGTGTAAATGAGCATAGTCATTCAGTGTAGCTAGCTAACAGCAAAGAATCTAGATCAACATATTGTGTATTGATAGCACATTAAAAGCCATGAAAGCAAACAATTCTTACTTGCTTGAAGTCTAGTAATATATTTTTCCAATTTTTTATTACGTTTTGCATTTGTGTATTCTTTACGAGCGACAAAACCCCTGTAAGCTGAAAAGAGATGTCAAAAATTAAATAATCCATTAGGTACACAAAAGGCTGTAAGAAGAAAAAAAGTCTGGAAGGAATTACAGATCTCCATTAAAATATTCATAAATATTTTGCAGGCTTTATCTTTCAAAAAAAGGGCAAACAACCACAAGCAGTAAATCTACAAAAACCCTACATTTTCTGGTGAGTAAAGTTATTATGAATTAAAGGAATACAAACCACAAGAGAATCAGAATGTAAAACAAGATGATGTTTGAAATGTATTAAAAATTTCAGCTGATGTCTCCATCAACAGTGTAATTGGTCTTATTATCTAGGATGGTTAATACATTTTATTTTCATTATTATATTATATAATCTTGTTAGAGCATGCCAGAATATTATTAATAACAGTATCATCTGTGCAATTATGTCCTTCCATTGTTAAAATTGCTTTTTAAATGTAACATTGATAAACGTAACTTCAGTAAAGAGGTTGTCATAACCTGGTTAAAATAAATTTTTCTTTGTAATAACAGATATCACCAAGTATAAGATATTTTGTCAAATGTAACAGCAGGAAAACAGCAAAATCCACATCCAGCATGCACATCCATCTATCAACTATACACGCACTAGCTTTAAGCAAAATGTTAAATGTTTCAAAGCTATTACCTGACTGTATTTTAATAGCACTTCGTTCCCTTTGTTCCTTTATCTTTTTGTATCTCCTTGAACCCAGCCACCCTCTGACACAAGCTTGAATCAAAATAATCATGTCCACTGTCTCCTTCCGCATTAAATTTAGCTGCTCCACGTGATAGTATTTGAGGAATACCTTAAAAAGAGTAGTCAGACAAGCAAAAGTTCTAGTTACCCTCCCAGGCCCTGTATTCACTCAATCCATTTTACATCAACAAGAGTTACAAGTTGTTTTCCAATGATGAACAGACTCTTTAGCTGTAGTACCTAAAGGATCATTCTTGTTAAAGATAGCGTTTTCATTGTTTGGCGTATTAGTTTACCTTACTCTCTCCTTCAATATCTTTTGTCAGTCCTTGCTTATTCACGCTTTCATGGGAAGATGTTTTAAAGTCCCAGTGCAAAACTTCAGTTGATAACTATAAATCCGTTTTCAAAACTATGAGGCTGACAGTTTTGCTAACCTCACAAATCTGATGTATGTTACATAAACGTGATCCAAATCTGGAACTTCAACCTCTCTGCTTTCCAATTTTAAATCTAAGGCATTGTTTATTTACTAAATTGCTTTTATGAACCATGAAGCTCAACCTCTGAAAAACTAGTCCAGCACAAGGGGTACAAACACATTCCTGGTGTATAATAGGATAAAATAAAATGTGTAGAAAAAACTGTGCAATTAGGACAATAATTATGCTTATTTTGCAGAATTCCCTCAATCTTTGATCACTCATTGGTACAGATACAGGTTAATCCTGATTAAAGTAAACATAAGCTATAGATCTCACATCTCAAGATGTGCTTCCTTGGGCTGCATGTTGTCCATTAGCCTCACTAAGCAGAGGGAAGTAAAGGATGAAGAGGAGGTAACTTCATGGCTTCTGTCCCACCTATCCAGGAAGATGTCTCAGAAGAAGAACAGTTGTTTCTTCTACACTAATGTGATTTCAAATAGATTAGGTTTCATCTCTCTCTCTATCCATATCCTTCCTGGGCACTGCTGTTACATTAGCAAATAGAGAGACTTGGTACAGTACTTGTCTGATGGTTCTTTTCTCTGGCAGACCTGAGATCTGCCAATTGGGGGTGGGTGGGTGTCCCTCTTGGGCACACTGGGAAGGCTAGTGAGCTAGAACCAAAAGCAAGAGTATGGGAGCACACATGTGTTTCTTTTATAATGAAATCCTCCCCCACTTCACATATATGCAATCAACTTGCTAGCTCTTCCCCCAGTGCTCAACGAAGTTTGCCACAGAGGTCTCAGGCTAGAAAGCCAAAACCTTCTCCTCTCCCTTTGTGAGTCTCATTGCTCCAGGGAAGAAGTATAACTTCTTTTCCTTAAGAAAGCTTGGACTAAGCTCACTGTGATCCTTACTACCACATTTTTTGAAAGAAAATGTAAGCAGTGTTGTTGTCACATACTGCTTTGCACTGTGGCGTCACTAAAGCTGATCAGAATTTCAACACTTTACAGGGTCAGGATTTCAGCCAGATATGAGGGAACAGCAGCTGGTATAAAGTGGTTTTTTTAAAGCAATAGAGACCAAGAGCTACCCCAACTACATGGCTGAGAAAACAAATTGCTTAATAAGTTAACAATGACATACTGCAATAATGTAGATACAGTATATTAAAAAAATTACTTTAGTTTTTCCGAGAACCCAGTTGTCAAGGTGGGCTTTTTCCAAGATGGCAGCACAGGTTTCTGGGCTGACTGGAGGATCATCATTTGTTTTGTAACAGATGAGGTAATACCTAAAGACAAATATACAATTCTTTATTCCATTAACAGCGAGCAATAGATGCAAATACATTTAAACCATTCATTTAAATAATAAAAAGTTGCATGAAAGAAAACATAGCACTGAAAAAAAGAAAACAGCATACGAAAGAAATTGCTGTGAATTATATGCAGTACTGAGAAACTCAATCAAAAGTGTGAGTGACATATTGCACATGCTAGAGCGTTGTTTAATTCTATATCAACACCAGAAGGTTTTTAAAAAGTGTGCAACTCAAGTAGAGTTGTGCACCAGTTCTTTGCTGCTCTGGCTCTCTGCATTTTGTGAAAGTGATTTCAGTGGCAAAATAAAAATATTTTTAAAGCTTTTCTGCCTAAATTACCTTATTTCATACCTAGAAATGTCATGAAAATTTCATATCTTATGTGCTAGACCATCTACCTTTGAGATAGATAACATGATGTGAGATGCATCCCAGCTCTTGTTACCTCCTTGGATTTAGCTTTGCAGATCCCTTTGGAACATATACATGCTGTTACAACATATCATATATAAGCATTTAATCTGGAAAACTCATTACTCAGAATTAATTCTGACTAGGAAAGGAAGTCAGGATGCTCATGCATAAAAATTAGTGGTAACGCAGCAGCTCAGCTGCTGGGTAGGAAAGTTCTTGTGTGTTCCAGGACTTTCCAAAATGCTCCATAACAAAATGGACCATACCTATCTTGGGTTTTCTGATTCAGGAAAATTACATAAATTAGTTGCACTTCCTGGCAGTACATTCTGCTTTTTTCTTGTTATTCAGCCTTTATACACAAAGCTTGGGTTGTACCAGCTTTAAATAACAGTAAAAATTTCCTCTTGGAATAACAAAAAAAGAGAAAATGTTGATTCCTGCATTGTCACCAATTCCTACAGTTCCTTTTTTTTTTTTTTTCATTTTACTACACAATGAATTGGCTTATCTTATTCTAACAAAACAATTTTGCCATTACCTCAGGTCCACCTGTAACTCTCAACTATTAAAAAAAAAAAAGGATGAGGAGATAGATACTTAATAAAAATCTCTTTTTGTTTGAGGGCCATATCCTCAGTACTGGAGATCTGCACAGCCTCACTGCAATCAGGGGCACACTCTCTGGAGAGTTACCCCGTTATGTTCACTGCTTTCTTCTCTTTTATCTGAACAGTAAAATTTTTTATAAAAAGCAGTGACCAAAAGCTGCAGGATATCTTGCTGCAGTGATAACTACCTTTTCCCATGCTGCACTCTTCCAAAACAGTAACAGTCCCAGGATTACTCTTTCCAGAAACAGTGCTATAAAACCATCACTTTGTCCTCCTCTCTCTCCTCATGCTCCTGCAGCACTCTGCTGCTAGCTTTCTGTTTCTAGTGCACTATTACTTTTAAGTGCTTCTCTCTGAATGGGTGTTGCTTGCTTCTGTACAGTTTTGATCTTGATTCCACAAATCTCAGTTCTGGTTGAGGCAAATACTCAGGGCCTTTATTTGTAAGAGAGAAGTTCAGATTAAGTGCTCAGGATTAATTTTTTGAGGCAGAGGAAGAAGAGATGGTTAAAGGAATTATAAAATCATAGTGAGTTCATTACTCTTCTTCTTAACAAGTGACTAATACTTAGAAATTGTATTTAAAACAAAACTATGCACTTGATGAACTTCTCAGCCCTAGATTACCAATACCAAATTATCATCCACCCTGCACAAGCAGATGCTGCACAGTGCTGAATGTCAGGAGCTAGAGAAAATGTGGTGCTCTTTGGATGCTATTGCTCCAAATTCTCAGCTTTAATTTGAAGCATTATATTTCTAATCCTCAAGTCTTTGAAGAAAACTTGCAGATTATAAGCAAGACAATTTTTACCCAAATACACAGGGAGCCTGAAACAATCATCCTGAGATACATCATCTTCTTCTACCAATCCGAAACAGGTCACTAATCTTGTGCCTGAACTACTCTCTGTTATCCAGACTGTACTCTTTTTTGTCACAGGAAATGTCTTTGTATTTTACCTTTCAAGACCATGCCAAAGACACTGCTGATGCTTAGTAAACACTGGACAGCAATGACAGGAAAGAAAAAGGCTTCTTCACATCAGTGTTACCGTTTTATGAAGTTAGCGAACAGTATACGGTGTGAATAACCCTGTCTTCGAATTCTTGCTGTCTCCAGAATTCCTGTATAACGTAGCTGAACCAACACTTTTTCTTTATCAAACTTGTTTGCCTGCCGGTCATTGTTTGGCTTGATGCACCTGACAAAATGAGGCTGGCCGACGACCATTTTGGATAACAAATCCATCAGAGAATACTGCAAGAAAGTAACAAGATATCTGCCACCAGGATATTTACAAAACTTGTATATAGGTCAATGTGTAGCTGAAATTTTATTTCATATGATCAGACTCATGTCCAAACCCATTTACATTTCAGTAAACTGGTATTTTAAGGGTAGATGAAGTAGATGACCCAACAACAATTCTAGCTTTGATAAGATCTCTAAGCTACTAGCATATGGTACTTGACAGAAACACTGATTCCAAATGGATGTACCAAATTCCACCCAGAACATTCTCACAAATGGCCATAATGTCTAACATATGATAGAAACTCTCCTTACACTTATAAGCTTCTCTTGGAGCCTTCTCTTGGAGGTAATTACAGCCCACCTTTTTCCTGTTGTCACCTATTTGAAAATCCTTATTCACCCAGAGAGTAAATCATCCATCTATGGATGGGACATGGAAGGGCAGCAAGCCAGTAAATATTGCTGTCCCCACATTAGAATGGAGGAAACTTAAGGCCACCCCAGAAGAGGGGCTACTTAAACTTCTCTGATCTAGCACATCCTGTTCATTGTATAGGCTGATGGTGATATTATAGCTGCCCTGCCAAGAGAAAACATTTGAGGAGGACAAAACTAGAAGTACCCAAAATCACAGTTCCAAAGTCGTACTTTTCCCACCTCACCAGGGTACCAGGCTAGCAGAGAGGATGCAGTTTGTAGCTCCCCATGCCAACTGAGGTGAATCTGGCTGTAAACAACCTTGACTGGTGTTTTGGAAAATTGCTTCATGGGAGGATCTTATTAAAACACAAATGAAGAGGCTCATTCCTCAAGATTCAACCTGACTCTACAGAAAGAGGCAGCCAGGAGGTAAAGCAGTTCTGCAGTAGGTTGGATATATGAAACTAGTGTAGGACATCAAGAGCCATATGTTTCCTACTAAAATGTGCAATTCCATCCTGGACAGACACTGTACCATGCAGCAAAGTGCTTAATTAGCTTCATCACTAGTGTACCAATCGAACACAAACAAGTAGGACATGCTAATGGATAAATTTTTTTCCCACTCAGTCTGAGGTAGCAGATGCTTTCTCAGTCACCCATAGATTTCTGCATATGAGTAAACCAGTGGGGCTGAAGCTGAGTCTTCATTTAAGAGGATTAGCTAGCAGGATCTGAGCAGGGATGTCCACTACAGAAAATAATAACAGAAAATTGTAAATATAATTAACTCATTTGCAGCCTCTGATACTAGATGTGCTGGTAATGCAGTGAATCACAGACATCAGGTTTGAATGAGATTCAATAACTTTTTCCATCTAGAACTTTAAAACACCATGCAGCTTTGGACCACCATGATACATATGCTGAAATTATCCTTTGCAGTCCACAAAGCTGTGCAATTGTATCTACTAAACAGGGATCTTGGTCCTTGCTGTTCTCTGTCATAGATGTAAACGAACACGAACATTATCTCAGGTCATGATCATTACCTCAGCCATCTTTATGTTTTTGCTGGGAGAGATGACTAAATAAGAGTTGGAAATTCAGAGCTGAGCCCAAGTGAACCAACTCTGTGAACTGCTTTGGGGGAAAGAATGCTTTTCACAGCTACTTTCTGTTGCAGGACCAGCAGCCTAGCCAGTGCTTGGGAAGGTCAGGAGCACTGCTGAAGGAGCCACAAGGATGGACTCAGGACAGCCTCTGAGCAGTGACCATCAAGATCTCTCTCTGGAGCTCCTGTTTCAAATTAACTTTGCCCTCTTGCTTCTTAAACTCCTAAACAAATGCTATAGCACTAATGTCCAACCTCCCTTTACCTCCCTTCATGGAAAAACAAGCAAGTGAAAGATTAATAGAGATCATCATACATCATCACGACAGAAATGTGGCTGTGTGATCAAGTACAATTAAAGATGAAACATCACGATCTCCTCTAGATATTTGTGCTGCACAGATCACTGCATCATATATGCAGTTCACAAACTCTAAATGGATCACTGTTGGTTCTAAATCAACAGGTGCATTTCAAAAGTTGAAAGAATAAACATTCATTCTGCTCTAGAAAAACTTATTAAAAGATCTGATGTCTTACTCTAAAATAAGAAGCGACTGTCTGTGTTTTCATGCTGGTTGTCTCTCTTGGATGATGTCCGGTATCTCCTGCTTCATTCTATTAAGATGAAGAAAGAAAATGACACTTTTTATCTCTGTTCAGCCTTCAGTGCCCTTTCCAATGCCACAACAAAGCACTCCTCAGAGAACATAATTAATTAAAAAAAGAGTATTCTAAACATAAAAAGTTACAGCATGATCACTAGCACAAATCAATTACACCAGTACGTTACATTACTTTGCTATACAATACACAAACGTTCACACACAGAGGACACAATTTGATAACGGACCATCTAAATAACTGCCAGAAATAACCTGACAGTGTCTGAGGTCCCATCTGTTATTTCATCATCACTATTATTTTGGTAGTTCCCTAAGGAACTTGACTATACTCCACACCAATATTTTAATTTCTCTTTTTACTACAATACAGCTAGGAAGTAATATTTTTTTCCTCTGAAGTTGTTATAAAACTATAGCCAGAAAGAAGGGAAATGTTAGGTTTTTACCTCACGGAAGGAATATGAATTGCACAACACAAAGATATCCAGCTAAACAGAAAAGAAAATAGGAGAGGGAGAAAAACCAAGGAAGGGGTTACTTGCTTACTTTTAGTACCAATAACAGTATTGCCTTTCTAGCTTAAATTAGGGTTCAACGCAGAATCACAAAATCAGTTTTCTTACCTTTGTATGACTGATGGATTTCTGGGGGGTCCACATTTGGTAACTGATTGTAGTTTTGCTTTTAGTGTGTGCCAGGTTACCTATGGGAAGATGAAAGAACGCAACCTACCAAAATGCTTACATCTCATCTAAACTAAAAACTATGCTGAACCACCTTATTCATGCCCCCAGTGTAACCATATTTTTATAAAGGTTGTTGGCTTATTTGGAGTATGTCCTCATTTCCCCTTTCGCTCTTGGGATGGAGCAAGCTCTGAAGAGGTTGCATGAAGATGGAATGTGGGCTGAATTTTCCTCCTTCAGCAGTTATGTCACCTACTAGAGCAAAAAAATAAACAGACTGCTGCAGAAGGTAAAAAAGATACATCTTAGAGCATCTATGTGGTTTTACCCCAAGGATGTTATTGTACTATTCTAGTTCTAAGGCTACATAAATATTTGTTAAAAAAAAAATAGTGCTAGCACCCTTCTCTGGCCCTGAAGGCAAGTGACATGGCATGACTCCACTCTATACAGCTAAACTCTATACTTCATTACTCTTTTAACCTCCTGGTAAAAATAAGGTTGTGTCTTTCCACAGAGCTTGTTGGAAACCATCACTGGCCTGTGCTTTCTCTTCAAGTGTGCCTGGGTATTTCTGGGGGACTGCTAGCTGACATGGTCCAAAACTGCCCCAGGGAGGCATGCTAACAATTAATCAGAATGGGCAATCCTGTGGGAGTGTTTCAGCTACTGTTCACTGGCCCTGTTTGGTTTACTAGCACAGACATAGTCTTAAGACTCTAACCTTGGAATTCTCGATCAAGTAATATCTTTATTATGATGACTTGAAGGACTAGGTGCATTGGAGTGGTTTACACAGACACTGCTCTTCTAGAGGAATAATGAAAATTCTGCTGAGCTTTCCATCATGTCACTCTATGTTGATAAACCCCAACCATTGCTGCATGCTGCCATTGCTTCTGCTAATAACATAACACCTCTGGAATCTCACTGTCCACTGGGAGAGCCTCTAATCTCTCTGTGCTCAGCTACTATCAGTAAGAGGTGGATAAGAGTTGGATAAACAGCTGCAAATACATGGCATTCTGAGCTAATGCGTCATGTATTATGTGATGATATCAAGTGCTAAACCTCCCTTAGGTTTAGCTGAATATCACAGGATGGGAAGGAAAGAGAAAGGATGACTCACACCTAACTTTAGCTATCTGAAAGTGAAGTGTCTACAGGTTCCCCGCTGTATTCAGTGGAGAGAGGCACCTTCAGAGGATATTTATCCCATCCGAAGAGAAACACCCGAGATAGGCAAGATGGGTTGGACTCTGAGTAAACAGCTACATTTCTACTCATTCTAGGTGAATAACTTAGATGAGAAACCTGACTTTTAGTTGGCTATAGCTGGATGGTTTGGGTCAGTTTTGAGAGGCTACACACAGTGTTTCATAATATTTAACAAGAAGACTAAAACAACCTTCAGAGTTATCTTGCAAATCATTACATAAGACTTGGGATAAATTCTTGGGACCATTTGGACCCTGACTTTGGCTCTACAGAAATTATAGTTTAGTATCTTAGCAGATATCAACAAGTCAAAAAAATTCAGGCAAGGACATTGAGCTCAGTGTTTTCCCAGGAACACTGACTTAAAATAGACCTTCAAGATCAAATTTTGCATTCCAGCAGCAAAGCTCCCTTTGTGAAAAATAGGAGCCTTGCCAAAACCTCAGTTTCTGTAAGCTACGATAACATTTTAGACAAATTTCCATTAGGGTCTTCCAATTTAGCTTTTCTGTTCTACTATATGTCCCACGTAGTTGTACAAGAAAGTAATGTCAAGTACTTACTGTATGGCGTCAATGCCATCACACAGGGAGTAGTACAACACAATAGCAAACTGGTTGTAAGGAGACTTACCCATCAATCTAAAATGGGAGGTAGGACACTGTACAAGGACTTGGTTCAACTAAGGTGCAACTTAGGAGTAATTTCTGTAGAGTCAGTCATATTCCTCCACTCCAACTTATGAACTCCCAGAGGAAGGGCTCACTACTAGGACCCCCATCAGTTACCTATTGCAAAGGACTAAAAGCCTGGGGAAATAGAGAGGTGTGTCCTCACTCTTTGCAGCAGATGTTAGGAGCTCCAACCTTGGTTCTCTACCACTTCAGAGAAAAATTGCACTGAGACAAAACAGGCAATTGATATATGCCCTGTCCAAAAAAGGCCAGTGACTTACCTGATCCTTTCTGTTCAGTCCTCAACTCAAGGGATGCACTCCACTCCCTGTCTTGCTCCCCTACCCTGAAGAGAGGACCCTGACAGAAGCCTCTACCACTTCCTTGGCACTTGACCAGACCAATCCCTCCCCTGCAGCTTGAGGTGGCTGGGGCTCCATTCTGTATAGATTCTAGGGTTGGAAAGTTAAGCCACAAAGTGTATAATGTCATCAACAAGTGGTCATATGAAACCTAGCAGTGGTCATCATGAAGGCTAGAGAAGTATTAGAAAATTACCACAATAGCAATACCTGTTTTTGTAAGAGGATGGGTTACCAACTGTCTTGTCAGATTGTTTTCAGATGATCGCAGTAGCAGCACAATATCAGCTGGCAGAGTATCTCTATTTTTGGCTAGAAATCCACTTGCATTATATAGAACCTGTTTAAAAAGTGCATTTATGCATCTTCTGGGCTTTTGAAAAGTAATTGTAAATGTAAGCACTCTGGCATGTGGCTTTTAATATATCAAGAAACACAAATAGTTTTTCAGCCATCAAAGTCACTCTTGCTTACAGGCTTCCTTTTGAAAAGTTCTAACTTTTCAATACTGAGAACCATTATGATGCAGATCCCTAAAAGCAAATCCATCATTCCAAAGTAGCTGGAGACATTTATTTTTGCTAATGCAGATATGTTAATATTAGTTTTAGCCAGTATGGATTTATCACTAGGACAAGTGTATCGTAGTCCTCCTTTACACCTGTACACGCACAATTAACAATGCACTTCATTTCAACCATATCACACAGGATTACCTATATGACTGTACAATCTTTCTGTCCCATTCATATAGTGCTGTACTGGACTCAGGACTTACCACTCTTCCTACAGATCTCTATTAATTGTAGAGGAAGTTTGCAAAAATCACAAACTGCATACTGGCAAATGAAACCTCTCTAAAAATTCCAGGAATGGTGTACTTAACTCAAAATGTACCTCCAGAGCTCTATCTCAATGATGCTGTAAAGGACCCACATGAAAACCTGGCCTGTGAAGAAGGGTAGAAGATACTGGCATATTTAATTTATAAAAAGCCCTCACAAAACAACCCAGTAACAGTCTTAAATTACAAAAAAGGCTTGTAAAGGAAGAGGAAATAAATTGTTCTCCAGCTCCACAGTAAACAGGACTAGGAGTAATGAACTTGCATCACAGCAATGGAGATATAAGTTAGACAGTAGGAGAAACTTCCTAATGAAAAAGCATGTTGAACACTGGAAAGGGCTAATGGGGCACTGGTGGAATCCAAATCTTCAGTGGCTGCTATCAGGAATGGTACAGGGAGACTTGGTCTTCTGCTCCTCGGCAGTGAAAAATACTATGTTGGTGAAGTGTTATTCAGCTGGAGATGAGGTTCAGAGGAGTTACTGCAGGCCTTTTGTAGCTGGCTGTCTTATGCAAGGGGCAAGTTATCTTCCATCAGCTGATGGGCAGTATGTTGCCTTTTTCCAGGCCAGCTGCTTCAGCACTGCACAGACCCAGCATAGTTTCCTATGCGAGATAGCAGTGCCCACTCCATACCCTTTAAAAGAGTCCCAAAGGAGGTGGGAACTCTTGCTTTCACAAGGCAAGGTTCAGGTGACCAGTGGCATCTTGCTGCAGTGCGTCAGCAACTCCTCCTGAGTTTGAAAGGCATGTGCAGCAAGTCACCTTGTACAGGAGGGCAAGATGCTGCTCATCAAATGAAGCAGAAAGCAGGGCCTGTAGTATCTATCTGTCTGATGACAAAGTACAGAACTAAGTAAGGCTGATGGGATGTAGGAGGCAGTAGAAAGAATGGAGCTGGATCCTGATTTAAAGCAGTGGGAACAAGCATGGCACAGGACTTTGAGGAGCTAAGGGGAAGAGCACTGAGTTGCAATACATTGCGGTTATGTTTTGGTTCTTACCAACTGACCAATACAGTCAGTTCATTTACCTGGTGACATTTAAGAAAAATATGCTCCTGCTATTGCTTTTTTTTCAATGAGGAAAAATAACTTTTCAATTTACTTTTGATGTGTAAGGCACTGCCAACATTTCCATGTAAGGTCTGAAGAGATGAAGGCTGAGGACCAACCCAGCTGACCTCTTCTATTTCCTCCCAGCCCTACCATTCCACAGTCCCCAACTAATATCATTAGGTCTCTTACCTTTCCTGCATAATGATAAATCCCAAAGGTTAGATCTACTCTTTTGGGCCTCCAAAAATATTTTGACTTCAAATTATCTTCAAATTTTTCTGAAAGGAAACACATAGCTTATCTTACCGGAGTTACTGTACAATAATTGTCTTCCAAAGCTATATCCCTCTAAGGATATTGCCTGACTTCTCAGACAACGCAGAGGCACAAAATAGACTCTGATGTTTTTAAGGACAAAGATAACATAATGGTCTTGAAACAAAAGGCACTGGATAGAGAACATGGGAGCTCTTGGATCAGTTACTTACTTTGCACCAATTTTTTTCTGTGTCACCTCAGAAAATCTCTTGATTGTCATATATGTCATATATCAAACAATGTAGTAATCCTTCCTAAAGGTTCCTTGGGGAATTGTGAGGAAACATTTACATTGATTGAGGGCCTCTGTACTGTAGACTAAAAAGTATGAGGATAGAAAGACAACAAGCTAATATAATTGTTTTAACATGGGCATTGTTACTGGATGTTATTAGGTTTTGTGACTGGGTGTTGGTTAAAACTCTGGTCTGACACCGCACATTCAAAAATGAATAAAACAAGGATTTATCTGCACAGAAACCCCACTGAAATAACTAAATCAACTGTAACTGCAAGTACTCAGCAGCACTGAAATAGTCAGGAGCTGAATTATAATATATTTAGGTGTTTTAATTTTAATTTCTGAATAGAAAAAAACAGGAAGCACAATTTACTGAAAGGCACTGAGGCAGGTTTGCAGCCATTACCCTTAAAAAGTACTAAAATTCTTGTTCAGATATGGCTCATCAAAAATCTTAGAGCTGAACATGACTCAACTTTGAAAACAGTATTCTTGGCATATGAACCTAGAGTTTTAACTCAGTTTGATCTTTATCTTTCAAGCCCTGAAGCTAAAAATTCCTGATGGCAGGAGAATTCAAAACCTAGATCAGCAGCTTAGGTTCATTTGTACTCTTAATATTTCTCTATCAGCCTCAAAGACACATCCATCACTACGTGCATACCTCCCTCAAACATACTGTAACACTGGAATGTGGGCTCACTAAAAACATAACTAGCATATAGCCTGAACTGGACACGCCAAACAGAAATCTAACAGGGAGACATCCTGTAAAACTGTGAAATAAACCATATACTTACCTACAAGTGTCTGATCTGTTGCTTGTGGGAATCGACTTTCCTCATCCAGCAGGGACAATAAACCCATTGGTTTCTGTAGGAACATATCTAAGAGGGGCCTGTTATCCTCATATTCTATAACTCTTGCATCAACACCTTCATATAGGTATTCATTCTGTAACAAGCAACAAAAGGCATGTTTTGTCTATGTATACAGAACCACTTCAGAAAATAATTCACAAACTGTCAATTGTAGCAAATTAAAACTACATTGAAAAAGTATTCCTTGGGGCTAAAAACATCAAGGTTTTGCAGCAACAAATGTCATTTGGGATGTATCACACTGTCAGGCTATAGATTTTAATTTGCCTTTGGATACGTACGTGCTTCCTATGGCACATTTGGTAAAGTAAGATGCTTTCCAAGAATATGCAAGAATTAAAGAAACAGAGCTGAAGAAGATAAAGTATAGTGTTTGTAGATGGAGACCTCAGTGCCTTTTTACTTCCCTGGTCTTCAATGTAAAAATTATTTCTTAATCATTTAGAGCTACATTTACATTCCTAGTTCATTGCTCAAACCTTTCTGATGTACAGGGGCCAAGATTTACACAATTGACTACAGATTACAGAGGCCTCACTTGTTTGATCCCACTCCTCAAACACCTGGAAAAGTTCTTATGTGGAGAAGAATGGTGCACACACTTTCTAATAATTAAAGAATGGTGTACATACTTTCTAAAAATTAAATAAATTGTCATAGGTTGGCCTCTACAACATTTTCCCTAAGGAACTAGGGAAAGGTATTCAGCAAGATTAAAAAACAATAGAAAAGCTGTTGGGGTTTTTTGTGTTGTTTTGTGTTGGTTTTTTTTTTTCTCATGAAGACTGCAAATGTGTTTGGATTCCTACCAAACTGAGAAAAACCTGATAACAAATGCTGTGACCACAGTGTGTTGCAATGGTTTTCTCTTGGAAATAATTTAAATTATAGCTGAAGAATACAAGAATGACTTTCTTTAATCCTTCAGCGAGGCAGAGGACAGCTGCAGATTTACCAAGAGAAGGATGCCCTAGGGACGGCCATCCCTCCATGATTTTTGCCTGCATGACATAATGCAATAGCAGTTATCCACTGTGCAATGCTCCCATATGTACCAGGGCTGCCTTCAGTCCTGTGCAGGCTATACTCTGAAACACGTAAATAAGCCTTTTGATCTACTTTAAAAATCACCCCTCTTCCAAAGCATAGGACTTCATAAAAGTGTTGTATTAATGTGTGGTGTTAACATCACAGTTGTGCTATCCTGAATTCATTGTGAGAGGAGTGTCATAAACATGAATGATGGCTAATATTAATGAGTTCAAAGACCTCTAACCCTGAAAGACCTCTCCTTATGTGTCATTCACTTGAGTCTGAATGAGCAAAGAAGGCAATATATTAAGCGTTTTGAAAAGGAGTTAACTGCCATATACAACAGAAAAGCACATTTTAGCCTTCATACCTATTGATCTTCAAGCCAGAGAGAAATAGCAAAATGAATAAAATCAGTAACACTGTCCTGGAAATACAGGCCTAAATAAATAAATCTACTGATCCATTGGAAAAAGAACACAGAAAACCTAAACCCTTCCAGTATCCAGATTGATCTAATTTCCCAGGACAATCTTCAGTCTAAGGATAGGTTATGGCTCAGTTTATACGTCCTTACAAGGGCGTAAGCAGTAAGAATCTCTCCTACAGCCCCATGAGGGCTCCTCATCTCAAGACACGTAACATTAACTTCATTCATGTCTTCTCTGGAACAGTGGACAGGTAGAGTTTTGCTTTTTATTTTAATCAATGACCTGAGTAGCAGGACAAGACAGGAGAGTAATAAATGTATCACTGATATAGACAAGAAGTTAATTATGTACCTGTAGGAGCTAGTGGCAGGAAGGGAATGAGGCCGTGTTATCTCGCAAAGGTAACATCAGAGCGCTACGGGTGTACCGACACACAGATGTTACGTTCACGAAACCAGCTGTTATTGCTTAGGATTATCAAGAGTACACTTATCAAGGGGGAAAAGGGAAGAGATTGCTCAGGATGAACCTGTGAGAGAAGAGTGTTTCTGTGATACTCAGACATCCTCAAACAAGCTCTTACAGACAACCTATCCAATGATTAACTTTTTCCAATTTCAAACGCTTGTGAGAGAGGTTGGTTTAGAGAGCTGATAAAAGGGTTCTCCTCAAAACTGAAAGGAGATCTGCAATAGCTGTACTACTACACTGTAACAGCAACATCTGCTCCCCTCCCTGCCCGGCCAATGTGCGGGGCCTGACCTCCAAGCCTGCAGTGTATATGACCATTCGGTCTTTTGTGTCTGCACCTTGACGCCTGAATGAGCGTCAGCGCTGACGGTTTCAGTAATGCCTCTGCCCTCTGCCCAGTAGGATATGGAAGAAGCTCACTCCACCGCTTCCCATGGGCTCCTGGAGGACGGCTGATAACCATGTCTTCCAGGCACCAGTGTGACAGATGGCTCAGAAATAAGATACCATATTACATTTTCTTCTGCAATGCTGGTCTTCAACCATATTATTAGGATACAAGCAGCAAGGATAAAAGCCTTAATGATGCACGTCATAAAACTGTAATGAAATAGATCTTATTTGAATTAATAAGCTGAATCAGCTACAGGATTCTGTAATCCCCCATGATGTTTTATGACAAGAAAGCTCCTTAAAATAGCAGCTGCTCATTGAAATTCTAAAGCATAATCCATCAGAAAGTATTCCTATGGATTGGATGTCAAAAGGAATGACTGAGTTACACTAATACTTGGGCTCCTATCTCATCTCAGTATTGCACGGTATCTTATCTGTGATCAAAACCAGGTAATATTAGCTTGTGCAACCCGGTTTCACTTAATAACAAAAGAATTATTAAATGCATTAGGAAATGGTCTTCATGCTTAATTGAAAAAAATTAATGGCATTTTGTTAAGAACATGGTATGATGAGACTTTGGTTTAAATGGGAACACTGGAGACTTACTCAGAATGAACATTTTCCAGCTTAAAGTAGAAGATTAAATTGTCATATGACTGTAAAATAAACATTGCATATATTTAATGTAAAAAGTAGCATTCTTCCAACTGACAGTAAATTTACCACTTCCAAAATGTTTTAGGTACTTGACATTACACCTTTTACTTTTCACAGAAGAATCACAAATGAGATAGAAATGGGAAGGTTGTCTTGCTGGACAATGTTGCCTGCAGATCATGGAGCTGACAGAATTAACTTATATCAGTACTTTACATGTAAGGGAAACACCTTGAAGGACAGGACTGAAGGTGCAGAAGTTGTGCTTTGCTTAGTATTAACCTAAAAAAAGCTTGTGCCAGCATTCATTCCACTTAACTATAGACACATAAAAGAAGTGACTAAGTTGAAAGCCCACATTTCCTCCCCAGTCAGTGGAGACAGAGAAATATCTATTTGTCTCCACTATTGGGAATCTAAACTATCCTTATCTTAAACTATACTCTCCACTTCAGCCTTTCTGTTAAATTAAGGAAAGATTGCATTCAGGCCTAAAAGCCTTTATTCTTAAATGCAAACATTAAGTCAACAATAAAGAGTAAATTCCCTTAATTTTGAGTTGAGTTCTCCACATTGGCATGCAGACACTGTGCTCTAGCAGACACCCTTGCTCTAGCAGACACCCTGAGCCTCAGGTGGTGATAGTACCACTGTTCCTTCCTACTATTTCCATCACTTCTGAGGTCACTTTTTTTTGTAGGCCACACTTCCAAAGAAAGCAAAACTGTGAACACTTCTCAGATTCAGACACAGAAAAGAAACCAGACAGTGCCAAAAGCATCACCTGCAAAACTTCAGCCTTATGAGTTCATTTACTATCTAGCTTTATTGCTCAAGTTGCCAAAAAATTATTCACCTTCCCTAGTTATATATCCCTAGTTATTAGGTTGACATGGGTTAATTGAGAACTAGGCTATAATTGACTGATTTAGGTCTTGACTTCCCACGAGATATGTCAAATTTCATCGAATTGCATGTGGTATGGAATTGAACAGGGCAAAACAGGGAAAAAAATGAAGAAATAATGTACCTGTAAGTTTTACTTCTTTTGAGGGAAGTATGAAAGAAATTAAATTCTGCAGTCTTCCTTGTGTAGATCTACAGGGTGCAATGCAGTGTTGCTTTAAGAGATTTCTGGGATAGCACAGAGCAAACTGACATGTCTGTCTGGCATTGCACAGGGCTGTGGAGATACTAGCCTGGGTCTCTCCAGCAACAGAATAGCTCCATCAGCATGACAGCCAGCTTGGGCTAAAGAAAAGTCAATGCAAAGGTCTTGGTGATGGCTGGCACCAGCCTTCTCCTAAACATAACTCCTGTCTTTTAGTATTAAAGACAGAAACCCATCAGTGAAGGGCAGAGGTCATCCTATTGTTTGGCTTTTACATAAGTGGTACTTTGTATCGTTAACAAGAACAATTTCAGTCATGTGATTTTGAAAATATCTCTTTTTTTTCCTTGTATAGAAAATTTAGTAATTATATTTTATATTTTCCTGCAAATAGCTTTCTCTTATTTGGCTGCAGGGAGGGTCTGTATTTACAATTAAAGTACATTACTCGTGTTAACACAGGAGAGTCCTTACAGTGAACAGAAAAGATCCTGAAGCCACCTGCTTTCTTCAAGACTGTTCTTGTGATGTAGAACTGGAACAACCACATTATAAATAAGTGAAAAGCGATGTCTTATAATGGCTATGAATCATACTGCAAATCATCCCATGTCACTGGGTTTTAATGCAGAATAATACATTTGTCATTTCCTGGCTCTGAAAGGGGAGGGGGGGATTTAAACCCACACTTGCACGAACTTAATCTATATAGATCATTCTGCACTGCTATAGTAATATCTTTGGAGACTGCTACAAGATAATATAATGAAGTTTGATATAATCTGGTGTAGTGGTGTCATGTAAATGAAAGTAGACATCTTAGTTGGTTGGTATTACAGGCAGGATGTGGACACTTGTAATAGGAATATTAGGTCTGATATAAATGAAATATGAATGGAAATGTGCACATAAGCACCAAAAGAAAGAGTCTTAGAAGAATGGCCTGTGATGTGAATGAAGAACATTTGTTCACAGCAATAAAATTGAGGAAAGTGTTGTTTACATCAAGGTCAGAAGGCCTTCGCTCACACAAAAACACAGCGCAGACAGCTACCGAGTGGAACACCCTCTAAATCTGACAACAGGAGGGTGACTGCAAGGTTACAGCACACCATATATGCCTTGCCTTTTCCGACGAGCCCACCAAGAAAACAGATTGTAGGCATAAAGATGTATATATTCCAAACAAGCAAAACCAGGTAATGACATTGCCTAAAGATTATGGAGGCTGAAGTAAATAAAGTTCTGAGGCAAAGAATCACCCCGTAACAACTGATGACTGCTAAAGGCTGTAAAAGATCTGTCCAAAAACTATTTCAGCAAGAAGAACCTAAGAGACATGATGAAGACTTGCTAGCTGGTGTCCCTTATTCTTTGTGTTGCTCACAAATGATCCTGGCCAGACCAGCTGAACACACGCATCCTGGTGCTTTCTACATGGGTGTGAGTCAATGAAATCTATGAGAGAATGAGTGGCAGTGGGTAAAATCAACATTCTTAGAGATTCTGTAAATAAAGATCATCTCCCCCTTCCATAAGGTCTGTAATTGTCATACTAATTTCCTACAGGAGAAAATGAGTAAACTGTATGTTGTCAAAATCAGAAGTTTGTTTTTTCCTTCATCTGCTCAGTACCAAAATAACCACCTTGACCTGTCTGGAGCAGGGCACATGCAGGAGAGCAAACTGTTCCTACTAGATGGTGACACCACAGACCTCTGCATTAACACAGGTCTGGCCAAAATGTTCTGTATTAGGATATCTAGAAACAAGTAAAGACAGATTACACTGAACAGGATCCAAGACTAATCGAAAAAAGAGAAGGAATATTAAGACGATATTTGAGTGTACAGGAAGAGGGTTAGGAAAGCCAATGCAGGTCCACCAGTAGCAAAAAAGCAGCTAGGGAAAATGTGGGACTGCTGCTGAATGGGTGTGGATGACATGGAAAAGGCTGAGATACTCAATCCCTTCATTGCCTCGGTCTTGACTGATAATCTCAGGTCCCTGAGACCAGATGGAAAGTCTGGAGCAAGGAAGACTTACCCTTGGTGGAGGAGGATCAAGTTAGGGAACATTTGAGCAAAGTGGATGTACGCAAGTCCATGGAACTTGGTCAGTGCCTGGATTTGACAGGAATAAATAACAATGCTACAGCCTGTGCTAGTTCTACCTTCCAGCTGTTAGAAACAGCAGTAGCCAAGTGCTCTTTTTGTGTGAATTTATGTACTTTGGAAAGAAGACACCTAAGTAATTATAATAGTTCAGGCTAATTTCTCTCTGACTTTTAGATGGTATTAAAGACAAGGAAATACTTGCAAATGAGAATCTCCCACATAAATCTATAAAAACAACTACAAGGTCTAAGACTGCAAGACAGCATTTCCTGAAATAACTGGAAACAGGAAAAAATATTGATCCATATAAAAAAAATTTCCATTTTACACATAGACATATACACAGAATCACAGAATGGTTGGGGTTGGAAGGGACCTCTGGAGATCATCTAGTCCACCCCCCTGCCAAAGCAGGGTCACCTACAGCAGGCTGCACAGGAACGTGTCCAGGTGGGTTTTGAATATCTCCAGAGAAGGAGACTCCACAACCTCTCTGGGCAGCCTGTGCCAGTGCTCTGCCACCCTCCAAGTAAAGAAATTTTTCCTCATATTCAGATGGAACTTCCTGTGTTTCAGTTTGTGCCCATTGCCCCTTAACCTGCTGCTGGGCACCACTGAAAAGAGCCCGGTCCCATCCTCTTGACATCCACCCTTAAGGTATTTATAGGTATTGATGAGATCCCCTCTCAGTCTTCTCTTCTCCAGACTGAACAGACCCAGTGCTCTCAGCCTTTCCTCACAAGGGAGATGCTTCAGTTCCCTCATCATCTTTGTTGCCCTCCACTGGGCTCTCTCCAGTAGTTCCTTGCCTTTCTTGAACTGAGGAGCCCAGAACTGGACACAGCACTCCAGATGTGGCCTCACCAGGGCAGAGTAGAGGCGGAGGACAACTTTTAGACTGACAAATGCATGTACACACCTGCATACATAGACACATTCCAAACTTGTATTTGTCTCATCCTTAAAACAAGCAGTGATTAACACTGACAAAATACTCTTTTACTACTAATAATTAAAACTAGTATTCAGGAGGATTTTCATCTATGTATTACAAAACTCAATAATTTCAACAAAACAGAGAAAGTATTGTTTCACCTAAAATTTGAATGTTGACTGTTCTGCTCATACAGAATTCTGGAATATTTTATTTTCATCAAGATTAGTATTTTTTTTTTCCTGGACATGTTATTTCTTCAAATAACAATATTGAATAATGATTTAGAGATGGTTAATTTAATTCTCATGGAATTATTTACAAAGTTGAGATGATATTTTTTGGGGTTTTTCACTCTCCTCTTAAATTTCATAAACTTTTATAATTACAACTCCATTACTTTTCTCTGTTTTACATCAAATTATTTATATTAAATCCATCATTATTTAGCTTAGATGATCTAGTTCCTGAATAAGAACAAAATAATTGCAAGATTTTCAGTTTCTAATAATGGAATTTCAGTGTTCATTAAGCTTATTAGTAGAGCTATTATGAACACTGCACTTTAAAAATTACGTTACCACTCACATATTTTTTTACTGTAGAATCATTCGTTACATCACTCATGTTATTCCTCAGTAAAACAACATTGCATTTGCATCAAACTGATTATCACTGTGTTATGTTGCTTAGATACTGTGAATTTCAAGTTTAATGCATTTTATGTAGGTATTTTACTTGCAAATACCAAGCGCTGCTTCACAGAACACATACTCAGAAAACATTCATTATAATCTGCAATTTACAACCTATTATGGAGAAGAAACAATGTAGTTTCTTGAGACAAGGTTTTATATGGTCAGCAATATTAAAGCCTTATCAAAATATTCAACACATACCTGTTCCCAGGCAAAGACATGTTGATTGAAGTAAAACTGAATTTGTTCATTGGCAATGTTGATACAGAGTTGTTCAAACGAATTTTTCTTGAAATTCTCAAAGCCAAAGATATCAAGAATTCCAATATTCAAACCATCATCGTTTCCACTGCAAAGATGAAATAAACTTTCTATTGTTATATCTTTATTTTACACTGACTAGCTTTGTTATTATTTTACAGAAGGAAATAATGGACCAAATCTGTATGCCAGTTCAACAGGACAATTTTTGCTAAACCAGGTATCTCTTAAAATAACAATCAATTTTTGTTTGAAATATAATAAATGCACATCAGTTCAAAGATGACTGTATTGGCAGACTAGATACACTGAATCACATAATGACTGAGTCAACTGATAAGTGTATAGAAGATTTATAATTTTATTTTTAGACTAACATTTGCTAGTTATTATTCTATTGTAAAAAGCTGTCTACAGTACAGAAATAACATGCAGTTCTTTTTGTCTTTTTTTGCAATAAAACAGGCTTTACTCACCAGCATCTTGAAATTAAAGATTGCTGTCATTAAATATTATTTCTTCATATTATTTATTCACAACAAATAAAACTGCTTATTTTAACATGAAAGTCAAAAGAATGAAAAGCTAGGCCTTTTATGCATCTAAATAACTACTTTAAGTATTGCAGTGTGGTACGAATTTAAATTACCAATTAAGTTCCAGAAAAGTACTATTAGTAAAAACTTCAGTCTGAAATTTTAGCTAAGGCTTTCTGAGAGATATGTGGTCATTTCTGCAGGTGGAAAAAAGCTCTAATATTTGTATTTATTTGCTGAAACAAAAAAATAAGAGGATATAATTTTATATCAAACTGAAGTTCACATTAGTGTCTTTTCCTAGCTAAACAAACAAAAAATATTCTATCTATAAAACCCCTTTGAGGGGCTATCTGGAACCAATTTTTTTTTTTATAAAAAGTTTAGGAATTTGAATATGAAGAACTAGCCTCAAGATACTCATGAACAGCACTTAAACCCCTTTGTGAAGTCCATCTCAATAATGGAAGCATTTTATTGTGGAGGGATCAAAGGTATTTGTTGATTCTGACCTGAATTTGGTGACTATTTTATCTATCTGGAAATTGCATTTTTGGTGAATAGACTGCTGAAATTTGTCTGCCCCACTGCTTCTCAGAGTTACATAAAAATACCAAATACAAATTATTTTACTACCACAAAATTAAAGCAGCCTTCTGAGGGTTTTTTTATAGTGAACATTTCAGGTCGAACTTTCTCCCTCCTCACCAGCATAATAAAGTATTCAATTTGAAAAGGGCACTGTAACAGGCATGTGAGAGAGACACACAGGCTAGCAGTGCTGCCTCATCTATCATGAATTTTACCCTATCACTTACTGATTAAAGTTCTGTTTATTGCTACTCTACTGTAAGCAAATATTTGAAAATTTACACAAATTTTAGGATTGTAGCCTTGGCTTTCCTCTGATGTTTAAAAAAAAAAAATCCTGAAAATCCGGATTTGCAAACCAAAACTATTTATTATTGTTATTCCTCTTCAGGTAGTTAGAAGTTTGCCTCTTTTCACTTCTGTTATCAACCACAGAGGGTCCTGACCTATAGGATCTACAATGCAAGCCACATTATTTCTTCTTTGATAAATTTGCAAAATATGATGTATCGTCATTCCTAAATCTTTCTTATCTCTGTGTTTACAATGTCACCTTGAAAGGGCAAGGTGGACATTAACCTCCATAAATGTGTTTGGAAACTACTCTTACACATATATGAAACCATGCTTATAACAACAGTGACAGAAGCAACAGCATCAGTGCAAATAAGAGCAGAATTTGACCTATGTAATCAACAGATGAATGTCAAAAGTTAACCCTGAAAAAGTATAAAGGAAGAAGTAGTTAGTATGTAATTTACAAAAAGTTAAATGAGTAAAGGTCAAACAGGAAAACACCAGATGTCTGTGCTATCCATATCTACTGTATTTTCACTGCATACTATGAATAGGATAAAAGCTGCTTTTTTTAACATGGTGGTGTCATAAACAAAAATGTAGCAGAGAAAGAGTAAGTGAGAACACCAAATACTCAATACTCTAGTGTAGACAATATTATTCCCACAGAAAATCTTCTTTATTCTGGAAAATCTTCTTTTACCTTAAATGTTTGTCAGGTTTGAGTAAAGTGTTGATGCGATTGACTATCCAGCTAAAAAGGCGTCCATACAGTGCTTTGGCCATGGCATCTCTGACATCAGTGGCTTTTTCCACAGTGTTGGGACGAATAATTGTTTCTCCTCGAGTCACTACACAGTGAGAGGTGAGGGCCTCTTGCAGTTCATCTGCCTGAATACACAGCAAGGACGCACCTAGGAAGGACGGTCACAGGCATAGCTCAGAAGGAAAAATACACATTTTTGCAATCATCAAAGCTGCAAGTGCAAAATATTATGAATAAGGGCCAAATCAAAGTCTTGAACTATGACTAATGAAGGTGTTCATGCCATACAACTGTTAGTATCTAATTTAGTCACCTACATTCCTAGGTTCCACTGCAGTCAATGAGTAAGTGATTCAAAGTAGAGGCCTTCAGGTTCTAAATTGCTTTACCAAGGAGGCTATTTCTCCAAACTGTCTAGGGGAAATGCTAGGGATTCTAGGTGACTATGTCAGGAGTATGTAAGTTGTGAGGTGCGTATATCCCTCTCCGTTATAATCCAGCCATATAAGCCACTGCTGTCCTCTTGCTCCAAAACAGGAGTGCTTCTTTCCCAGTTTCACAGTATTTTTCTAACTATGGCAGGAAAATGTGTAAGAAGATAGTGTGAAGACTTCATTATGTCCCCACCTGTAATTACTGAGTGAGAGTAGCAACTTTCTTGAGAATCTTTGCCCCTTTCCCTCCTATGCCTCCTGGCAGCCTATAATGTAAGGTATCCCTTCCAAAGAATTAGTGAGCCATATTTCAACAGGCACATGTGGGGAACAAGTAATGAGTATCTGAGAAAGAAACTGGGAAAAAACTATTCAACATGTTAATGAGGTTCTCCATCAAATGTTCAAATAACCTTGGAAAAATTCCAAAGACTTTCTTTTCAGGCATCTGCAGTATTAGTCATGTTTCCTGAATGCCAGTCAACTGGTTAGTCAAATAAGGTGCTTAACATAGAAAATTTTTTCTTTTTGCATTTGAATTCAGGTGGGCTTGGAATTAATCTATCTTCAGTATTTAATTATTCTTATAAAATTTCCATGTGAATACAGTTTTCATTGATAACTCTCTTGCAATAAAAGAAATTCGCTATCAAAACACTAAAGGAAAACAATCTTAAATCAAGAAAAAACACTCACAATTCTCAAGGGCTACTGGATTGGAAATGTTGCTCTTGTCAATCATATGTTCAGATACTACTGCAGAAAATTCAATGTTACCCACATTTAAAATGGCGGCCAGGACACTGTACACACTTCCAAGTTCCTGAAAAGTATATTAAAAAAGATGCAATACTTAATAGCCAGATAGATTTGTCACTTTGGTTTGTGTGATAGGTACATGTGTGTGTTGTATCCTGTTGTCTGCCACATGCCCACTTTTAGGAATACTGTTCTCAGCAGTTACTCTCTGTACTCACCATAGTCTTTCAAGAGTAAGACACCCAAAGAGGGCAAGACAAACTATAGCCTAATCTCTCTTCCATACTTGTCGACAGGACAGGATTGACATGGAGTAGGGGAAGCACGAAACAGTGGTGAGCATAAACCTCTTACACAGAAAGAATTCAGAAGTTATTTAGATTCACCCTTCACTGTGTCTGCAGGCACAACCATGTCTAAAAATGTAATACCTACATCAACAAAAATATAAAAAAAATTGCATCTATGTTTCTTGGATCACTGAAACAAAGGTACTCCAAATAATAGATCTGCAACAGCTTCCACCGACATGAGGAAAAGTTTCACTGGGAGAAGACTGAGACCTCACATCTCTGATTTGGCAAAGCAGTTTACCCTTCAAAATGTCAGTTAGGAACTGTGTACTCACCAAAGCACTTTAGTATAGACTTTACTTAAACATATTTAAATTTCAAATGATGTAGTAGGTTCCGAAGAGGGATCCTGCCTTGAAAAATGCTAATATTAGTCTGGACAGTGAAGTGATATACACAGTAAATTATTTTAAGTTCATATATATTTCAAATATAATCATATTTGCAGTAATGAAATAATGCTTTTGTTGTAGGTTTGACTTAGATTTGAACTGGGTATTTTCATCTGAACTGTGAAGGTTTATCAGTATACTTGATGATCTCTGAGTATTTTCTACTCAAAGACGCTGAGGTGTTCCTGTAAAGCAGACTAGGTTTTAAGCTAGGAATCTGTGATGCTATATGTTTTGAGGCACGCAGTAATAGTGCATTTTATAAATAGTAGGTTTATAAGTTTTATAGTGGTTTTATAAGAAGCAGTTTTGTACATTTGACTGGTATCTTATAACAATGGACTTTTCATAATTGCACAGCATTTTATCCCTAGTATTCAATAGTTTGCTGGTACCATGTCAGGCATCATTTACTCAGAAAAAATCCTTAATTGATCTAGAATACTTGATCTTGTTTTCAACACTTCAGAAATTAATCTAGCAGTTAATAAATTAATTATTCCAGTGACATAAAAAATTATGCTCAGGATAATTGGCACACAGTTTACCTAGGTTTTAAGCAATCATTTTCATTTTAAGCTTAGGGACATAGATGAAATGCAAACAAATGGATAGCTTAACTTCTGCCATTATGCTGTACAGTATGTATAGCTGTTGACATTTTTGTGCCCTTTTCCAGTGTGTTTGAAATCTGGCTTGATCTGTCTCATACAGCATGATTATTGTTCACCTCAGGCAGTCATTTCCTATTAATTTTGCCATGCAGCCTGAAATAAAACAGTGTGATTTTAAGACACGGAGTACTGACAGTAGTTACTATTAAAGTCTGCCAGTCAGTTAAAAGCTTGCTGAGTTAATCAAGTGAAGATCCATCCTAGAACTGCACAATGCGGCCAGTGACCTAGTTCTAACTGGATCTTCAATATGTAAGGAAGGTCTCTTTTTGAACATCAGGATTATTGTTTCCATCCATCCAAGTGAACAAAAGAACCAAGAACAAAAACAGAGCTGCTGCTTTTCATGGTATAAATTAGGACTTATCAAGGTCTCTGGTGCTGTGACAAGATGATCAGTGCTGAACTGTGCATATCCTTCCATGCTGCTTCTGGAAAGGCCAAAGTACAGGTGTGAAAGGATGTGATAGTACGGGTGTGATATTACTAAGTGAAGTTGTGAATAAGCATGTAGAGAAGAAAGAGACTGTGAACACCACTGCTACTATGATTTAATGCAAAGTGAGTATGGAGGTGAATAAATCTGTTCTGCTAGCTATTTCAATACTTACACTAAGGGAAGCCAGAAATATTTAACTGAAGCGAGTAGTTTTCTGTGAAAAGCTCCTTACAACATGCAGTTTTGTCAAAGAAATTAAAACATACAACCATTCTGGAGCACTAGTGCTATATTTCACAGATACTATACAGATCATACTCCAACTATCATTTGTGATAAAGTCAGCAGAAAACTACAGCTGTGATGCACCACTTGTCCTAAGAAGAGAGAACTAGGGTGCAAGATGGGGTTTCCTTGCCTTGCATCCTACTTCATAAAACTAGAGGCCTGCTTTTATTTTAATTATACCAAAGACAGCCTGAGGAGAGGGGTTTAATGGCCAGCAGAGCAATGATATGAGATCATAAAGAAAGAATGGGTTCAGTTAATGCTTAGGAATGAAATTCACTCCAAATGGACATAAAAACTTCATTCAACTTTACCTCTGGAGTTGTGAAAATGTATTGCGTTCACCAGATCAACTCAATGAATTTTTAGAACTCTCACCATGGACTTCATCTTAAAACAGAGATGAGGCTCATATTCACAGGCCTAAAATTACAGGCTAATAAATACTCACAACATCATTTTCTATGCATTTAATTTGCAAAAGTCTTTTTTTCCCAGTTACTCAGCTCTGCTGTGTTCACTGATTTCAAAGTCTTGTTGACTAATACCATTTTATTAGTTTATCAATGCCTTGAAACCTTAAAAATGTAAATGTGGTAATATAACAGTAAGTTGACCATGCAATATCCTAAAACATAAGCACACTACTGCTAAAGGAAGAAAATAACAAGGGAGATTATTTGAGTGCTTTATATAAGTTTTTCCTGGTTAAGGTAGCCATTAAAGTTCACCAAAAAAAGGGGGTTATCAGCACTCACCTCCAGTGTAAAACCTATGACTTTGAAGCACTGTTCAATTAATTCAAACTGAGACTTATAAAAGCTGTTGTTCATGAAATCTTGCACTATTCTGAAATGATCATTTTGCAGATATCTGAAAGAGTTGATGGATACAGAGTTAGAATGTAAAGGAGGTTGAGAATTCAACACCGTATTTCTTAGTAATCAATTTATGTAAAAATAAACTGCATTACCTGGGAGGTCTATATTCTGGCAGTTTATAATGTGCCAGTTTTTTCTTTTCCGCCAGACCAGCATAAATATAATAAAAAATATGGAAATTTTTCTCTCCTCTGAAACAATAGAAATAACAAACTGGTTTAGTAATGTAACTATGTTACATTTACTGATGACATACATGCAATTATTAAATGTTCTTTTAATAATAGGCAAGGCTCATGCAAATTGACAGAGGACTCTGAAAGAAGCTTTATTACACAAGTTCCTGTGAAGTGAACACCCTTTCTGTGCCATTGTGTTTGTCCTAAAGTTATCAGGGTGGCTGCTCGGTGCTACAAGCAGCTAAATGCTGCTCTGCCTTTGATGCAATTGGTAGATGTGGGGTAAGATCTTGCACATTGCTCACTCACCCGCATTAAATGGGCTGCTTAACCTCTAGTTATTTTAAAAAATCTTCTGACCATGGGAGAGCTATACACTCCTGATTCACTGAATCCAGTATGTTTGCTGTGTCCTTTAAGCCCTGAACCAAGAAAGCACATAAGCAGACATTTAGCAAAGGGCCTTATGACTTGGCATGCTTTGCCTAAAAGTTAGGTACCCAAACCCAGGACAGAGGTTTATTGCACATCCAAGGTTCTTGTGCACCTTATGAGGAAGAGCTGAATGCTTAGGTGGAAATTTGCAACCACCATTGAACCCTGAGATGGCAAGTCAGTCACTGTGAAAGGGCAAAAAGGAATTGTGTACAAACCCCTGCTGTCTGCATGAGTTGAGGCGTGTGTCTCAGGAGCACCATTACATGCTTCTGTGGAAGAGGGTCAGAGCCCAGTGCACCCCTCTCTGCATGGGGGGTGCTCAGATCAGAGTCCAGTGCCAACTTAGTTTGCATATTTTCTGTGGACAGTCAGTAGTAGAAAACAAGATCAATTTAAGGAGTAGGAGCCAATCCCTTATTTTCTCTGTCAGTGGCTTAACCATTAGGTTGCATAGCCATGCTTTGCATCCTCTCTGAAACCTCACTGTATCCTGATGGTTTTTGTGTTCTCTTGGAAAGTTAGTGGAACCTGTAGGTTTAAAATCTCATGGCTTGAAGTGGGTCTGGAACTTGGGTATCCCATTTTTTGGGTAATCAGTCACTGTTCTTTTGCAAAAAGTCATTCCTCCATGTGATTTTGGGAGTCATGTTCTCCCAGAAGAGCTGAACAGACTGCTCTTGCAGTGCAGGTACCTGAATGCCAATTTGCTGCCCTTGCACAGCCATATGGACCAGCCACAGGGAGACCTCAGTGAAGAGGAAAACGTGCTCGACACAAACAGCTTCAGGCACCCTTGGGAGTTCATGCCTCAAAATTTAACCTCCTACAGTGGCCCTGATGCTAAAGACTTCTGTGGCATTTTCTTGTGAATTCAGACTTCTAAATACCTACCTAAACAGCATTTGAGGAACATAAATGCTTTGCCTGGTTCCTATCTCAGCATGTGGCTAAATAGAAGTACAAAATGACAGCCACAGAACAAACCCGTGAAAAGTTATGAAAAAAGTGGTATTTTAAGGAAAAACCTGATTTTATTCTGAAAAAGCAGTTTCTGTGCTTATGTTCAACTGGGGAAAAAAACCACTGTTTTATAAAATTGGCTCTAAGTTTAAACTGTTCATTGAAACATTCTAAATGATACTTAGATGTTCTTCATGTCACAAATCTACAACATGCAACAGGGTCATGCAGAATACAAAAAGAATAAAAATGAGTAAGAGATCAGCAAGGGGAAAAATTTACATGTGACAACATTCCTTGCCTCAAACTCTGTTTTTCCTATTGTTATTATGGCAGAAATAAGAGTTGCCAAAATATTTTTATCTGGATATGCTATATATTAGGATGGAAAATACATGTCAATAATTTAAATTAATTAGAAAGACCATTTAATTTTTTTGGCATTTTATATTATGAGATGGATCTGTCTGCATTTGGTCCATAACTGTTATAACCAAATCCTACTAGATGCTCCAAAATGGAAAATAAGCACTTTGCAAACAAACAAACAAAAAGCTACAATACTAGAGGAAAAGCAGAGGAATTAAATTCAAGTGATATACTTAACACTACTTCAAACTTCCACAAAGAAATTTATAACTGAACTATTAGAAAGTTTTTAATTGTTTACACTTTCTGATACACTTTATATATTATATATGCCTTTTTATGAGATTTGTTTAAATAACCTAGGAGGCAATGAAAAAAAAACATCAGGAGTAGTTTTCAGCTAGCTTAGAGATTTATAAGCTATTCATATATCATTTCTAAGAAAAAAATCCCAGTACCTTATTCATCTGCATGTTTTGATCCAAGATAATTTCCTGCATTGTAGGTCTACTCTGTAACTCCCAAATTAGGTCAAATACAACTTTTATACTTACACTGCCTGGTGGACAACTCTGGATTTTTCAAGGAGATACTCTGAAATCTGAGCTCCTACTACAGTGCCACCACAAGTGAATTTCATTTCCAAATATTTTCCAAATCTGCTTGAGTTATCATTGATGATAGTGCCTGCATTCCCAAATGCTTCGACAAGGTTATTCACCTGGAGGATCTTCTCTTGTAGAGTCCTGTTATTAGCCTGGATATGAAAAAGATATTGCTTAAAATTATCAGTAATCACTCAAATACATTCATTCTTAAGTGTTTCTTTCCTCTTCTAGTTGGTATTGTGAAGTGTGACATCATCAGGGCGGTCATTCCTATGTGAACCATATGGAAAGGCAGGCATGTATATATCATGAAACCTGTCAGAATATAGCAATCTGCAGAACTAATGGCTGGCTGGAAGAGATAACACACATAAAGATAATGACAACACCAGAACTAATCAATTTTTGTGGTCTAGCACTCTGAGATGGCCAGCCTGCTTATAGGATCCCTGCTAGCATCTGGTTACTGCTGCACTGCAGCATAGCAATAGATCAGTTTGCTTGCCTCTCAACTGGGACATGCAGAAATGGCATTTTATTTAGACAATTATGGTGGTCGCTTCCCAGAATGACCTTGTCCCACTGACAGCAATCTGGCTGTGGAAGGAGGTGGGTGAAAAGCTAGAAGAGGATTTTATTTAGTACAGTTTGCATGATTTGAAGACCTCAGTTAAACAAGTGACAAAGCCACAGCCCTCACTGCAGTGGGTACTTCCTTGTGGAATCCCCAACGTATTTTCAAGTCATTGTAGTTCAGGAGGGAGGAAGGGGTAGATAGATCATCATCATATTCCAGTCTGACCTCACAGAAGTTCTTTGGAAGATGTATTACAGTCTTGCCCCCCTACCAATGCTCTCTCTGTAGGTTCAGTCAATTAGGCCTAAGGTAGCAAAGAGTTACAGAGGCATTCGCTTTGAAACATACCTTGCCCAGGACAGTGAAAGATGGGCACTTTGCGTCTTGCCAGCTCCACTTTCTCCAGAAATAACAATACACTGCAGAGAACAAAAGCATGACTCAGCTTATTACATATCTCAGCCTAGCAAAGGGTATAATTAAGACACCTCATCTTTACCTGATCGGAGTTGTATGTCACCATGGACTGATAACCTATGTCAGCAACAGCAAAAATATGAGGAGGGTTGGCAGTCCGTTTGGCTCCAATATACAGTTTGGAATGCTAAGTGTAAGAAAAATAAAAACATTATCAGTGTCCATAAACATTTTTTTTTAAAATCAGAGTTTAGTTTTATTTTCAGATTAGCATACAGCATTCTGAGGTTAGCAGCAGTGATATTTTCTGAGTGAGCTATTACCGTACTTACTACACCATGATTCTGTAGGTACTTATTACTATAAAAACTGCTAAAAAAAGATGAAGCACAATTTTGTATGATGTCAGCCCTGATTTTGCTATGAAACTCAAATTATTAGAAGAAAATTTAATGTTGCCAGACATCAAGGACAAACTTGCAATTTCATTTTATTTGTAATTCACAACCTCTTAGTATTTCCGCATGATGTTGATGTCAAAACTTAAGATCTTTTCTGTGCCTGTAGTATCTGGTAATGAATAATGCCAAATTATTGTATGACTAGACTTTCATATCTGTCCCCTTTTGTGTAATGGGGAGGCAAATTCACAAGAGTTAAAATTTTACAGGGTTGCTTTGTGAATGGTCTGATCAATTAAATAGCTATGGCTTCCCCAGCCCTCTTGGGAGGAAATGCCCCCAGCTCCTACCTCCAGCCATTCACAGAAGTTCTCCGTGGGAAGTGGAGGAGAAGGAATGCTACCTCCCACAAAGAGGGGTAAGATTCACCTGAATAAATGCATTTATCCATACACATACTACTTCTGAACTAGTTGCTATGGATAACTAGCACCTTTACGCTCCATGAGGTTCTAGTCAACAAATCTCATGATGTTTAGCACAATTTATCTCATCCTAGAATGAATACTGAAAGTCACTAGAAGAACAATAACCTCAAAAATCCTATTTCTATCCATTGATTAAAACCGATGACTTGCTCAGATATAGCTGTTTGCACTTTAGATGTGATATAGACATGATCTACGCTATAGACATAAATATATCAGAAATTAAATTTTTTGGAGTTTCTTATTTTGTGCTGAAATTCAGCATATGATAAGGATGTGTGTCAACATGCACTTGAAGGGACAACTATATTGGTAATTCTATTTTTCAGAGTGAACTGAAGTAAATCTCAAGAATGGTCTTTATACTTAACACAAATATTCATATTTTAATGGAAATCAGTGCTAGTTTAAAAGAACCAAACATAGATTTTCACACCTGTGAAGAATAAATATCTATATTCCGAAATGGATTGACAGCAATGAGAATGTCCCCAACATATGTGTAGATCTGATCCTTGGCGTAACCCTTCTGCAACTGCTCTGTTACTGTATTCTGATGAAGAAAGAATAGGAACATTGAATCACATGGGGAAAAAAAGAATATTAGAAAAATATATAAAATATTTATATAGTGACAATGAGTGAGGATAGAAAGGGAAGGTATTAATAGTCAGGAATACAACTGATCATGATCAAAAGTGAGTAACACTTTCAAACACATTGGCATTCCTAATTTCTTGTGTCCAAACTCACTTTGAGCAATATATACTTACAGATCCTCAAGTGGCTGTAGAAAAATGAGTTAATAAGTACTGCTTCAATTCAATTAATCAAAAGTTTCCATAAGACAGTCCTGTCTTCATTTCTAACACTACAGCTTCATGTATCTCATCAAGCAAGAGCCATATTCTTGAATTCATAGCTGTCAATACAGCTGCTCTAACATTACCCTCAGCTATTATAAGACACACATGTTCAACTGTTTGGATCCTATTAATGTAAACAATCAGGCATCTTTCTGTATTAACAATCAGTCTCTGCTGTGATTGTTCTTTGCTGCTGTAGAGCCAGTTCTCCCTGAGTCAAGAAAAAAGAAGGGCCCATTAGTGGCATACCCAATTTCTTGACATAATTTCCCTCAGCTTCTTCCGCGTATAGAATTGGGTATGTAAAGTGCCTGGTTAGATTTCCAATCAAAACGGGACATAGAGCTGGATGAAGAAATTCAAGCCAGCCTTGAGACTATTCTGAGGTACATGTGAAAATATTTAGGCCCTATTCCCACTGGAACAGAATGACCAGCAGCAGAGGACTACAGAAGGAATTGCTTTCCCTCCACATCTATCTGTTCCCAGTGTTGTGTGCTGTGTTGTTGTTAATGCACTTAAAACCTGAATTCTCAACAGCTGAAGAGGTTACATTTCCTTCACAGGAAAACATAAGGAGAAAACCTTGGTTTTCCACTGCCTTGATAAACTCCTCTCTTTTTGGTTTTGAATGCTTCCTTGCTTTTGCCCACAACCAGATTCACATTAACAGGATTTTTTAGGGGAACTTCTGCCTTTTTTGAAATTATTTCTTGTACCAATAGAAGGTCTCCTGTTTTGCTCTTCTGACGGGGCTGTCTAAACTGGAAGAAAACTTTGAATGGAAGAAAGGAGACAGTTCTGAGAAGCTGCCATTCATATGTGAAACAGGTTTTAAACTGGATTTGATTTAGTAAAATATCACCTAGTCAAATGATGCCTTTAGGTGGAGGTTTCCTGAGGACTTTCCCGAGAATGCTCCACCTCTGAGGAGACAGGATATACTTCTGGCTCATCTGGTTTTTTGTCTGTATTCTCTTTAGCCCAGATGGTTTATATGCTTCATGGCAAAAGATAAAAAACAGTCTTGCTAGCATATGGCTATTCCCAATATTAAAAAAATGCTTAAAGCTGAGTTTTGTGCAGTAGATGAAGTTTGGATTAGCTGAATTAGTATTAACTAAACATTAAGCTACTAGAACTAAGCTCTTGGATGATGGAAGGTGTTCTGTGGGCTGTTAGCATTATGTCGTTTGCCAGCTCAAGAATCACATTTAGTATTCTGGACTGACAAAGATACAATTTACCAGTGAAGTTTTACAGATAAGAGAATGTGAATTATAGTCTATGCACAGTCCGGTAAAGGAAGAATGACAGTTTGTTTACAACCGCTGATGGCCTCTAAGACCTGCAGATAATGTGCTGTGGCCCAATTCTTCTTTCTGGTTTTGAAGCTTAAAGCATAAACACAACAGACTTCCCCCTTCCCTTATGCATGTTCCCCTGCTCCTAGGGGACTTGTTTTCGAACTTTGACAAACCAGTGAGATTTGTATCAGTAATTTTGTCAAAAGTTCGCCAGAAGGCATTGACAGTTCAGACCCTCAGCTGCTATAAATTGAGCTCACTGCATCTCCACACCAAAGTCGGTCAGTGAGAACCCAGCCTAGTATGGTACGGTAAGCTAGTTTAAGTCAACTCTAGATGACCAAGCAACAGGGGAGAAGATGCTTGTTCTTGGACCTGGACCAATTTCAGGTTAAGACATCATTGCAAACTAGATATTTAGTTGTAATAAAATCCAGCAATATAAATCCTGTTAAGCAAATGGTGCTACAATACTGCTCAGCCTAAGGCTGTAACTGCAGAGAGCATTTTAGCTTTGAGTTGGAATCATTCCTGACACAGTAAATCTCATCTAAAATATTTGGCATAAACTGGTAAAATGCCATTGTACACTTACACAATTGAAGTGTGACAATATAATTGAACTTGAAAATCAACAGCACACCGTTGTATTTTAATACGTGATCACCCCTCTTCAGGAAACATGAAAAAGGAGGTTCTTACCTCATCCAGTACCTCCAAGGTTGCTAAATCATCTACCTCTTCCTGGTTTGAAACCAGTGACTTACTGTAGTTCCCTTTCTTTGTATGAATACGTTCAAATCTAGAAAAGACAGACATGCAATTTCCTGATGTAAGGAAACACAGAGCAGATCCTGCATCTGTAACCATCTTGAAGGCAATTCAGCCAAAACATTCCAGCTTTCCATCATTCTGAATGCAAACACACGAATGTTTGAATAACAGAACAGGATATAACTTCTTAGTGCAGCACATCTATTCTTGACAATTCAAAATGTATGGTTTGATCCCACAACTGATACCATGAAGAATTTTTTCACCGTACAGATCCCTGCTTGATCACACCCCTACATCAGCTGCAAGACCAGAGCTATGCAGTACAGGGTAAAAAAAGAACATATTTATAAAGCATGTAACAGTCAAACTCTGGTGCCAACCTGCAAAAAGTAAAACGACCCAGATAAAAATTATGGATATGACAAAACCAGGGGTGTATGATGAAATAGTATGGCAATGATGATGCAGACAAAAGCACTCAGGATGGAAACATTTCTAGCTTAGTAATGAAAACGCTCTAAAGCCTGGCTGAGATGATCACACTGTACAGCAAAGTGCTACAGAACCACTGGGTTATGTGAAATGCATCCTGACCAAGAAGAATTTTCTTGGAGTCTACAGGAAACAAATCATACAAAATAAGGAAAGAAAATTTCAAGTCTTTTTCTTATCAGGGTTAAACTTCAATTAAGTTTGTCTTAAAGGGAAATTTCTTTTCTTTTTTAATCTAATCAAAGAAACTCTATGCAGTCTTGTAGAAATTAGCAGGAAAATTCCCAGAGACTTGGATCATTCTCTATCTAAGAGTAAAGGCATTGCTAAACAAAGCAAAAGCAGCAGAAAATGCAAGGTTTACAATTCGCATTAGTTATACTTGCTTTATGAGATAGGGGAAAATCAGGGAAACTGGATAAGTAACAGCAGAGTTCACAAACTAAATCAAGCTCAGATGTGCCATACGGCACAAGCACAGAAAGATTATCAAGGCAATCCAATCTCCTGATATGACCTCACTCCCCTTGATACTATAGGTAGGAAGGCCCCTCTCAAACACATGGAACATATACCTTGATAAACTGAAGCAGCAGGGAAACTCTGTTGTGTGAAACACACTCACTCTTTACCTTGATTCCAGACAAGACTAGGGAAATCCTTTATTTAATTCTGACATTTGGATATATGGCATGAGTAAAAGCAGACAGGTGTTTTCTACCCAGGCAAGAACTTCAAAATACAGTGAACAGAGGACAGGAGAAAAAGGGCAGTTGCACCAAAATGGAAAGTTAGAATGAATGAACATCACACTGATGGGGCAAGCGAAGAGACCTCTGAACTCCTACAGTAAGATTTACTGCAGAGTTTAATGGGCTGTACCTGTTCCACAAACATCACCTACTTCATGGGTGATACTTCAGGTCATGCAGGCTGTGCACTGATGTGGGATGCAGGTGCAGAAAGTCAAGCAGGCACCCACTTGGCATCAGTTACTGATTGCCAGGACTGAAAAGGAGCTGGAAGAAATGGGCAAATGATGCCCTCCCAAACTGTAAGTGCAATCAAGATCTGAATGATGGAAGTGCAGGCATGAGTGCACTTCATCTAGCACTTCTTTCAATTTCTCTTGTCTCTAACTATCATTCCCTGAGGGTGACAGAATGGCCTGTCCTCACCCAGGTGCCAGTAATGGCACAGTTTCTTCCTCCCTTAGGTAGGTGCCAGCTACCACTGGAGTCTTTCCATTGTCCATAGTGCAAAGGCAGCAGTTTCACACCCATAGCTGACTAATTCTGCAACCTTAATATCAAGACACAAATATGTAAGATTTCATTGCAAGAGCTAGCATAGTTTCATGGTCTCTGTGCCAATATCGCAGCACAATACCCAGTGTGGAGGCTAAGTGATTAGGAAGCCAAATGAACACTACGGATCAACAGGATCTACTTTGCCCTGATGGAAGAGGGACCAAATCTTGCCAGTTTTACACCCAGCTATTTTGCAGACTACTTTCAAGCTGTTGTCAGGACCCTGGAGCTGCATGCAAAAGCAACCTGCTTCCAAATGTTCTCTTTCTTTCAGTATTTACTACAGGCCAAGGAGACTGTTGTAGATATAGTTGTAATGATGATGGTGAGGCTGAATTACATGGAGGTGAAAAGCAATGGGAATACTACACAGCACAGTACCAGAGCCTTATTGCTGCCATGTAGCAGACAACACGCAACGCATGAGCCTGTTCCAACATGCGCAGTGCAAATAGACAAAAAGAGATGCAGGAGGAGGTCGTGTCTGTGTGGGAGAAGAAAGGCAGCTTTTGCTGCAATAAATCCTTAACTGGGCTGTAATTTGGTATGTATTGAAATATGTTGAAGCAGAAAACACACAGGAACACAAGCAGGCAGCATGAAAAGGGGTGGGTCTGGTGTAAAGAAATTGCACCTCTCCTAGGTCCAACCTCTTCCCTTTCCTTTGGAACCCGTTTGTACTGCAAGAGCTATCCTGGTACTACTGTTCTTGCAATAACACTGTGAGCAATTTTTGGTTGTGTGTACCCCCAGGTTGTATTAAAAAAGATGTGGTAATACTAAAATTTAAATTAATTCTTCAGCCTTGCATGGTCTGCTGCTGCTTGGTTTGCATTTACCAGCTAAAGGCTATTACTGAATTCAAAGCCAGAGGTGCAGGCAAAATCCTGCCCCCTCAACAGAAATCTGTCCCCTCTATAACCCACACTCCTATTTATACCTCTTTTTAACAGTTTCAGTTGAAATTTTAAATTTGGACAGTTGAAACAATTTCTCCTTTGTTTCTGCATGAAGGTCATTTTGAGTCCAGAGGATGCATTTAACACGAGTATGACTTTGAGAAAGACATATCAATATGTACAAGAGGGAAAGATGCAGGAACTTGCAGGACTATGTCAAGCTCTGCTGTTCTATTTTTTCCATTGCCGAAGGAAGACTCAAAACAAGACATCTGTCAAGATGCTTTCCATTTCTGGTGGAATTGTTACACATTGAATAAATTCTTTTTTAAATGTTACTGCGTATCAGTGAGAGAGTGATATTTCCCAAGATTTGTTTCAATTACCATTTTTCATTTAGTGTAGGAAGCTAACAACTGCCTTGAGGGAAGGGAGGGGAATGCTCCAGTCACAGAGACTTTTAATTTTTCTATTTTTTTTTTCTTTTTAAGGAAACGATCTCTATTTATTAATTACATAAAATTATTTCTCCTGTAATCCTCTTCACTTGACATTATAAGAACACTAGTGCTTGTTAAACCAGATTATATTCTCCATTCTCCAGAATATAGCAGAGTGGCAGATTTGCAGAACACAATATTTTTCTGCTTTACTGTCAAAGGGCACAGACCCCTCAAGGGCAGTTATACTGCTTCACTTGCTAAAACTTCATCCACTTAAAAAAAAACACACATCAGTGCTGTTGACATCAATACTGAAATTTCATTATCATCATGCACAAAGACATTGTGAACTGAAATAACCGTGTTTCTCTGTTCTGTTCAGAAATTATTTGTTGGAGGCATTAGCTCTTACAGCCATGCTCGACAAGCAATTCAAGCAGCTAAAGGCTAGAAACATCAACCCAGTATGGACAAGAAAATGAGTCAAGGCAGCATTGTTTCTGTGTATCCTCCTTCACACCCCCTCAGTTATCTTTCAAGACTCTGTTAAATCAAAATGAGGCAACTGCAGCTTTTTCTTCTTTAAATTGTCAGAATGTATTTAAAAGATTTCTGATAGTTCCAAAAATACCATGAAAAGGGAAGTGTGACTCATGATGCCCTGTTGAACTCTCTGCCTAAACTGGTTGGAGAATCATCTACAGTCTAAAAAGTGACAGGAAAAGGTCTGGCCTCAGTCTGGGTGTAAAGAAGAAACTAAAAATAATCAAGTTTTTTGTAAGGTGAAGGTGGGAACAGCTGTGCACCTCCCAGCAGTTACAAATAGCATTAAAAGTGACAAACAGAAAAGAAGCAACACAGAGAAATCTGTACAGGATCCATCATTGCTGGTGATTCTATTTCTCTGGAGGCTGCACAGAGCAATATTAATTCACACTTAAAATTTTGTCTTCAACAGATGTATCTGGTGAAATATACTTACATAAAACTATAGTCTTATATCTATGCAAAATCTGTACCTGAATTTAGAAAAGTGTATTGATAAGACTCCAGCTGCATCTGCACAATGCTTTGCAGGCAAACCTGTGCTCCCTCTATGTTTAAATGATTGCACAGCACTGGCTCAGTCTCAGGGAGCTGTGCTCAAACTTATGCAATGTTGCTGTGAGCACAGGGCTGCCCAGCAGAGCTACGGGGCTTTTCATTCAGAGGTGGTCCGTGTCCAGCCAGTTGGGTCACGTCCTGCTCTGCACCATCTGTTTGCCAAAGTCTGTGCTGGTTACTATGCCCTCCAAAAAGCAGATTATTGGTCCTTCATAACAGCCTCAAGAAATGACTGTATCCCTGACAAATCTCAGGGAAAAATATGTGTTCTTAACTGAGCAAATAAGAGTTCTCTAAAAGGACTCTTTCGGATTAGTTCTTTATTGCCTTCATGAGTCAGGCCCATGCTCTATGGTCAGAACCATACTGAGAAGATGAAGGAGAAACTCCAAAAGCAAGTGATGCCTGCTGAGGTATCCCACCTTCAGGAGAAATGAATTGCTGAGCAAGTGGACTGACACAACAGTAAAGTAGCAGATGCAGAGCATTACTCCCAGGGAATCCTGAATGCAGGAGGAACTTCTTTCTCCTGGTTTGCTTCAGGAGGTAAACTATTCCTCATTCAGGCATTGCTGCTGTCCATTGCACTGTATGGAAGGATGTCTCATTCTGCTGTAGAGATGTGTATTAGCTAGAAACATATGGGACTGGAGATCTTCTTAGTCTAAGGCCTGTGTTACCAGAAACTCTTTATTGCTTCTACAGCCTGAGAGCAGTTCGCAGCATAGCCATGCTACATAGCAGCATCCTCAGTGCAGGAATACACACCCTCTGTTG